GAGACAAACAGAACATGAACATATATATGGCATATCTTATTCGAGGAAACCAAGTTTGATAAGTAAAACGATACATTTAACGTCCTTAAAATGTTTGGTAGAGTCTATAGCTTCTGTGCTTTATTTCAATATTACCATGCCTTTTGACTTCTACATGTTTTGTTGAGTACTACATGGTTGGTTATCCAAATAAGTGTAAAAAAATTTAATAAAAGCAAATTAATGAGATAAGAAGTTGAAGATTTGCCAGCATATCTCACCAAGTTCATATTTTCCGATTGACAAATCTTCCTTATGATGTCACACCCTCTTTGAAGAACATATAAAACCTCGACCTGTATTACTTTTGAGAGGTCAGAATCAAACTGTGATCCTATAAATGTCAAACATTTGATTTTTCAGTTTAAAAACATGTACGTGTCCCTCCATTCTTGTATCCGTAACCCACTACAACATTTTATCATTTCACTTTTTAATTTTCTACCTTTTTCCTACCTTAGGTGTGCCTGCATGGATACGTGTTTTGCATTTTTGCAGTAAATGAAGCTCCACATACACAAATGTTGATGCATTTGGTTTTAATAGAGTTCATGCCTAACAGCCAATCATTGGTTTAAATGACATTTTAATGTTGGCAATTTGGTTGTAGTGCAAAGTATCCTTCTCTTCTGAAAAGTATATGCGGAAATGTTTTCCTTTCTAGCCACACTCGTTAGGAAAAAGGAACAAAGTAAAAATAATAAATTTCTTTCCTTTTTTATTAATGAAAAATTTAAAGAAAAAAATTAAAACAACTGAAGTCTAGAGATAATCATATTCTAATATATCTTTTTAAGCATTTACACTCACCTAAAAATGCTAAAAACACATTCTTTAATGCACTTAATTATTAATTAAAATTTATTAATAAAAAATAAAATTATAACTAAAGCTCATTAAATTAAGAATATAACATAAATATGTTTTAATGAATTCAAAAAATATGTTAAAAAATGTTATTTTAATGTTTTACCTTCTTTTATTCTTAATTTATTTTTGGTATTAAGAAGAGATCCTATAAAGTCTTATAAAGAAAATAGAAGAGATAAGAACGTGAAAAAAAAATTACGTGTTATAGATATTAAACTTATACATATTCATATTTCATAGTTTAATCAACTAAGTTGGGCAGAAGATTGTTATTTTATCTTTTCATAGCCGTGTAGAGAATGAAAGGGGCAAAACATAATTACAAATTACAAAATGGAACTAATTAAGTCCATGTGTGGTTCTACAGTGAAAAATTCTAAAGGCATGTTTATAATGTGAAAATTATTCTTTATTATATTAATTAAATTAACCTTCCTGTAAATTTAATTAACCCCGTTCCAAACATGGGCAGTTCCTCCGTTGCACCCTTTATTTATTTAGCGAATGTTTGTTTATATTCCAAAACAAAGTTATAGATATCCTAATAATAACGTTAAAATTAAGTTAGATAGATGCAATTCTTTTTTCCTTTGAAGAAATGGAATTCCAAACACCAAAATGCATAATAATAAAGTCCTTAGACGGCACTGCATATCAATTTTTTTCACCTAGTTATCACCGAATTAAATTAATAAAATTTATCGTTCATATTTATGTTAAATGTATACAACTCAAATTTTAAATATGCCTTTATATATAATCATGTAAAAACTCTTAAATTTTTTTTTTATGAAATTTAAACATTTATATACACATTTAAAACCACTGCCCTTAATTTTTTTAATTATTATTTTGAATAAGATAATTTCATTTAATATATTCAAAATATAAAAATTAAATATACAATTAAAATAAATTTCAATTTACCATATGTTATTAATTTTACTTAATAATCCTATTTTTTATAAACGTATAGTTAATTATTGGTTTATATGGTTTATTGATAATATATATATATATATATATATATATATATATTTTAAACAAAAAATATTACATATAAATAAATATGAAGTTGAAAAGCAATCGTAGTTTGTTCATGGTATTATTTTTATTTAATTTTTTTCTTATCAACGCTTTCACCGTATCATCATTAATTATTCTAGTTTATCTAATAGTAGTAGTAATTAATAATAGGACAAGTTAGACGGTATTCTATAAGTTTTGCTAGCATTGATTTTGTAATGAAAAACACAAAAAGTACAACAATTCATTAATAAAAATCTTACACAGGTAATAGCTGTATCATACACATATTGTGTTATCAAAAAATAACATCAAAATTATTTATAATACAACACTTTTTTTTGTCTTCAATAATATATAATATTCTATTACTGAATCCATATATTTAATATCATCAGTAATTTCTTCTCAAAATTATTTTATTAATTATTATTTCATATTTTTTTCTCATCAGCACTTTCACTCTAATATCATTTAACATTTATTTCTATAAATAATAATATCATTATTATTATTATTATTATTATTGCTATTGTTAAGGTAAAAATAAATTTATAATTATCTATAATTAAAAACTAACTACACCAAAAAATAATAATTTTATTATTAATCTCAATTATTCATTTTATTTAAATAATTTGAAAAGAAACTTATTTAAAAAATCTAAAATATTATAAGCTAAAAATAATTTATATAAAAAAAAGTAAACTGCTTCCGAAACTTTAAGTATGTTTTTTGCAACGTTATATCGTGTAGAAATTTTAAATTCATTCCTTTCATCATAAACATTCACAGATTTTAATATATTTTTATTTATGAAATATCTTAAAAATAAATTAAACTGTTTTTCTTGCATTAAAAAAATCACATTCAATGCATGAGAATTCAACTATTTAAGTGGTAATGATAATAGAATGCATTTGGTTGGCAAATAAGTTCTATCTTTGTGACTTTTGAGCTAAATTAAAAAGACAACTTTAATTTAATACCATCTGGACAATGTTTCCTGAAAATCTACGTTCTCGTAATTGCTCTTTATTTGCTGTGCTTTCTGGCAAACAATTTGGGTGCTAATAACTTTTGAGGAAAAATTGTATTCTTACATTTTTTTAATGATTTTTTAAATAAAAAAAAGTATGAGATAAAATATGAAATGTGATAAAGATAAAAAGATTCATAAAAAGATAATGTAAAAATATGTTTTTGGAAAATAAAAACTAAATTTATTTAATATCGACAGTGAGAAGATCTCTCATCAGCAAAAACCATATTAATAGTATTTTTGCACATAAAAAATGAGACAACAAAAAATTGTGTCATTTAATTTTTAAATATTATTCGATACTTTTTTAAATAATAAACTGTAAATAAAGTATCAATATGGAAAAATTTTCAAGAATTAAATAATAATAATTTTACCTGATAGTTTTTCTATGAAATTTCTTAATGTGATTTTTGGAAATTCGAGAATGTTATTTGTACATTCTTTTCTTTCCCTTAGTTTTACAGTTATACTTTTTATACAATATTTTTCAACACACCATTTTTTTACTCTTTCTTATTATCACGAGATTGATCTTCTTATCTCACATTTCCTCGACTCTTTTCGTGGCTGCATGTTTTACAAAGTTTATATAAAGAAATTGTATATACTAATTTAAATTTTTTATTTTAAATAATAAATTTACCTTCAAGTACAATCTCTCACATGCACCCTCCCCTCCCTCCATTTTCAAATGAATATTTAATCGTGTAGAAATCAACCATGGAGGAAACACTGTTTTGGCGTCTGAGAAATTTGAAAGAAAAAGGCGATTAACCCTAAAATGAGGACAATGAATGATGGAGGAGCAGGTGGAGACTGTTTCTTGCTTGAGAATTATTAATCACGCAGACACATTTGAGGCATGCAAATATAACAAGATACTGACAAAGTTGATTACCACACTGAGGAGAAAACATCCTAAGGGCAACGATCTTGCACTACGATTCCGGCCGGGGTGGACCCCACCATGAGACCTTGCTAGGGCCTTTTGCACCCTAAGACATAGCCATTTTCTATGTCATAGTATGCACTCTTTTGTTTCCCCAACATTCTTTTTTTTTTTATTCCTTTTTAGTTTTTACAAACTATTATTTATTCCCGGATACATGCAACTCGTGCAAATAGCTACAATGCCATTAAATTTAAAGTTGGACAGAAACATCTACCACAGAAAGAAAACATTGTCAAACTTCTAAACCTTGCTAAGAATATATGGGTATGGCTATGGCATGCTAATCATGAGTCATTTAATCATAAGCTAATTAAACAACAACAGTTCAGTTTATTACAGAGCACAAAAAGATCTTTTCCATTAATACGAACAATATAGAAATTGAGACATTTTATGCATGCAACTTGCTATATGAATAGGATAGATTTTTGCTATTCGTTAGTTTTAACAAGTAATGAATTAGATAAATTTTACCCAAGCTACTTTTATAGTGTGTTCCATGGCGCTAGCACACTCTTTCACATGGTAAAAATTTTATTTCTATCCCATCAAGCCCATGTACGTTCATGGGCAAGCATTCTGTTGCATCACAAAGAAGAGGGAAAACTTTGCTGTTCTGATGTCTCGATTGTATCGAAAATCTTCAAATGTTGAACTAGTCGGTCAATTCCATAATAATATTAAAGAAATGGGTTCATACCATATGTAGGCACTTTAGGAAATTCAATGAACTTACCTTATGCTTAAGCGACACTTGCCCTACCTAATCCTGATTTTCATTTTAACATTTATCTGCCAATAAAGTTTCTATCCTTGGCTGAAATATGCGAAAGTAAGCTCTAGGTAGTTTCTTTCACATTGCCTCATTTAGTCATATGCAGGTACGTGTTTCCCCTTCGGATTCTCAATTAAATGTAATTAAAAAATTACAAATAATGATGACATCATTTGTTGAATTTGAACATCCCCTTTGCACCTATAAAACCACATATTACGAGCAACATATCTATGCTATATGGTCCTAATTAACTTGGCATTTCTTTGAGGGCGAACAGCTGTCAAGTGCTATCTATTCTCTGTCTTTGGAACATATATTCGTTGTGCTTTGTCTCTCCATTATGGGTAGGTCGCCATGTTGTGACGAGAGTGGTGTAAAGAAAGGGCCATGGACTCCAGAAGAAGACGAAAAGCTGATTCATCATATCAGCAAACACGGCCATGGCAGTTGGAGAACACTTCCAAAGCGTGCAGGTTTGAATAGGTGTGGGAAGAGTTGCAGGCTAAGATGGACAAACTATTTGAGGCCTGATATCAAGAGAGGCAAATTCACTGAAGAAGAGGAGCGAATTATCATCAATCTTCATTCAGTTCTGGGAAACAAGTATATATGTTTGCTTACTTGTACTCTAGATTATTGTAGAATTAGGTCTGTTTGGTCAAAAACAATTTTTTTTTTCTCATTGTTATAAATAATTTTAAAAATATTACCTCATTTTTACTTATTTTTCTATTTTCAAATTTTTTATACAGAAAATAATGAAAACAAATCCTTTAAAATAAACAAAATGAAAATATGACAAAGTATTTTGATATCTACATGCAGTAACAGTTGAAAGATACAATTATTTATCAAAATAGGAAATTAAAACAAAAAATATTGTTTCAAACCAAAAACGCCTTTGATTAATTGAATGATATATGAGTAATATTTTCCTTTATTTTTTTCTTGTAGGTGGTCGAAGATTGCAGCCCATCTACCAGGACGAACTGATAATGAAATCAAGAATTATTGGAACACAAGCATAAGGAAAAGGCTTCTCAAGATGGGTATTGATCCTGAAACTCACAAGCCAAGGACAGATTTCACTCATCTCATGAATCTTTCACAGTTGCTTGGGATGTCAAACTTGGGCAATGCTATGAATACTAACTGGGGCAACCCTCTCGGTTTACAAGCTGATATCACTCGGTTAGCCAAAATACAAATGCTGCAAAACCTGTTGCAAATTATGAACAGTAATTCATTTGTTAACATGGGAAACCCTTACCTCCAAGGAAATCCCAACCTCAACCCATTTCTCAGTATGACAAATCCTCTCAAAACTAAGGAGCCAGTGGCGTTGAGCGGTGAAGAATATGCAAATCCTGGTCTATATTCTCAAGCACAAAGTGAATGCTCTCAGCAGGATGTTTCAAAATCATGGGCAGATGTAGATGGTGGATCTAATCCACAAGATCTTGAATATCACAACAAAATTAGCAACAATGCTTCATGTGAAAATCAAGCTGAAAACCCATTGCCTGCATTAGTTGCATCCTCTCCAAGGATGGGAACCTTCAACCAAATGGACAGTGGGTGTAACACAGCTCAAACATCCACTCAGTCACCTTCCAACACAATCTTTGATGATTGGGATAAGTTCCTTGATGATGAAACAAGCGGCTCCTATTGGAAAGAGATTCTAGAGTAAGGCCCTATTCTCATCTGCTTTGTGTCGCTTGCTCGGTAACTCTAGTTTCTAAGTGCATGCATGATGCTTATAATCACAAAAAGAATACTGCTTTACCAAAATTAATATACACGTCTTTCATGATTCTTTAATTTTACCTTCGTTTCATTATAAAAAAAATCTCATATGTTAATTATTCTTTTTTTTATAATGTTTATTAAAATAACACTTTGACTGATAATATTAACACTACTAATATACACTTATGATATAATATTTTGTATTAAAAAATAATTTCGTCAATATAAAAGTTTATCTGTATTATTAATACATGTATATCACACTATTTCTATATTAACATTTTAATTTTCATGATTGAAATAAAGACTTGCAAAAGTAATAAACACACTAAACAATTTTTTATTAGTATTTGAATTTTGTTTGTAGAATTTTTTCAGCTAACCTGAAATTTCCTTTTCATTTTGCAGTCTGACATCCACTTCTGCGTCACCAATTTTGTGGTAGAGGAATCACTGATTCTCTCTCAGGATAATCCCATCAAATTGTGGATCACATACCAAGAGATACATACATAGTTTAATTCATTCCTGGTTTTTTTCATTGTTTAGATTCATTTCCAAATTTAAACGTGGGCGGTTAATAACTGGAGTTTCTGTACAAAACAAAAAGATACACACGCATATTTGTATGAGACTTGCAAATTATACATTTCGTTTTTATGTTCTATAGACAGACTTGAATTTCCCAAGATTTGGCTATTTGTATCGTTTTTCTAAATAAAATATCTTTTGTAGTTACAGTGCAAAATTCTAAGAATTTATTTCCATATATCTCCTCTCATCTTCTCACAGGACAATATTCGAGTTAAGTATTTTCGCTTTCCTTCTATTGAAATGTGACAAATCCGAAATCATCTAGATGCTTTCTACAGTGAGATGGTCTAATTTAATCCATGAAGTTAAGCTTTTGACTTTTGGCATAATGTATAAGTCAACCTTGTCGCTACAAATTCTCGCCGGCTAAAGAAATTTTGCCCTGTTAAGTATCACATCAAATGATGATAGAAGATACAATAAGCTAATCCATGACAAAAATAACCATTTTTCTTCTGAAATACTAAATATGTCCATATTCCAAACCAACTGTTAGGTCAGATTGATTGTTTACGTCTGGAACAAGATTAAAAAAATGCTCCAAAAGGCCTCATCGAATGCAACCACCCATTTGGATCCAAGTTCACTAAAGAAATCGCCTCCTTTGAGATAATGTTTTAGGTAGGCGATATGATGCAACCTGTGGTTAATCAGGACACAACAAGATAAGATAGCCACCTTTCAAAAGCTTTAATATTTCTAATCGTGACTTTGTACATTATGGTGCAGCTTGTTAATTCTAACAAGAAAGCTTTCTGTCATATTCATTTAAAAGCAAAAGATAAGGTATATGAATAGTATTTGATGGTGAGATTAAAATAAGTAGATAACTAATGCAGATTAAGTTGAGAATAAATATTTTGATATGCTACTGTATGCAATAATTATATGTAAAAAAAAATCACCTTTCTTAATCAAACAAAAATTAAGCTACCTCAGATATTAATTAACCATTCCATTATATTTTATTTATCATAATTTCAAAACATATGGTTCATTAATACTAGAGCAATCAGGGCACGTATACTTCTGATTTTTTTTTTTTTCAAATGGTTGGTTTACTTCAGCACCATATGAGTGAGGATATAGAAATGTTCTTTCTAAGCAGTGCTTAGTGATACTCGTACATGGAATCAAAACATATTTTTATTAATTTTAATCTGAAGTTTTATTTTTCCTGTTGTGAAACTTGTGCTATAATCATATCTAAAACAGTTAATTATTTAGCGGAATCATTTTTCAGATTTTAAAATTTTGCTTCAGTACAAAATCATACGTAAGGCATATATTAATTGATCGTTGGTATGAATAATTTGAATTTCTCCTTTTCACTACTTATTACTTAATGATAAATAAAGAATTCAATCCTTCCACATGTTCTTCACCGATTTTCTTGTTCTCAGTGAAGCTGTCAGAGTGACCCTAATATGGATGTAATATGGGGAATTGTATATCTCGTATGATATGTAGTTGTCTAGGGTTGCCTGTCTTCAGTCAAAAAATAATAAGGCCGAGTAAAAGAAAAACAAAACATTCTTTTAAGAAATTACACATTAACATCAGTGACATTTATATGTTATAAAAATAAAAGAAAACATAAAATACATTTGTAAAACTAATTTTTTATTAAAAATCACATGATCTAATACATTGATAATATTAAATTTTATAATTTTAATAAAAAATATTTATTAATTTTTATATATAATTTAAGACACAATTTAAAAACTGTTATAAAAATTATTTAGATTAGTCTAACTGCAAACTTTATTATGAAAGCATTCACTCGGTTTCGAAAGCTATTCAAAACAAGCTAATCATCTCATAGTCTACCCCTAAAATTATTGTTCAAGTTTTATTTATTAAAAAAATTGTTAATCTCAGCTTAAAGTTGAGATTAAGAAATTAAAAAAAAATCATGATTTTTTACTGAAAAATTATATTTTATTACATCTAGAATATAAAATAAATATATTAAATATTAATTTTTTAATAAAAATAAATATTTTTGAATGCTTAAAATGACTTTAAAAACTTACATTGAACAAAATCGTTATTTATTTTAGTTCAAAACAATAATAATTTTGCTAAATCAAAATAAATAAATACGCATGCTAATGTCGTCCAATATTACTTATATCACTGGGGTATTCTTTTGCATTTGACTAAATTATTTCATGAAAGCATTTCCACATAGAACTAACCTCATGATCAAGAATTATACCAAAAAAACTCCCGAAACAATTATAAATATTATTTATAATGCACATAAGAAGTATATATATCGTTCATTTATAGCTAAAGGTTATACTTCTCATGAAATTTGCATTAGTTATATCTATGTTTTCCTAATCATTTTCAAAACTATATCTCTCTTTTAATTAATTTATTAATAATGATTACACACATTCGGTATGTTTTTTAGAAAAACTAATGGCCCCATGACACATACGTGGGTTTAAAATTTCCTTACGACTTAAAACATGAAGTAAAAGATTTGTACTTGGGCTTTGATGCTTCTCTACATACCAAGACCATCCCTTCCTAGTCCATTGTCCTCTATCGGATGTTCCGACCCCATCGACCTAGAAACCGAAATAATATCCTGTCATAAGCACTAAATAGAACCTCAATCTCAATCCAAGTCACCTATCGACCTAGAAACCGAAATAATATCTTGCCATAAGCACTAAATAGAACCTCAATCTAAATCCAATACATGCACCTCTGCCAACCACCGCCCCCGCCCCCACCGCCCCCCAAAAAACTACCTACACCGACAACAAAAACCCAACTTCCGCACTTACTCAAGTCCAGGTGAATATTTTTGCGATGCCACTATGAGAGATGCATCGATCAAATAATACATATAACCCACAAGTCCATGCAAACACCTACACACAACTCTGGTCATTCTCGTGCTCTTAAGAACCAAGTCCAATAGAAGACGAGACCTGCAATTAGTTGGCCTCAGTTGTATGCCGTATTATTTCATGAGAACAAGTACGAGATGAATTTCCTTAGAGCACTACTCCCATCTCAATCAGCCTGACCAAAAGTTTTGTCCGATTCATTGAGAATACCATATCAAAAGGAAAAGAACAAACACAGACAATAGAAGAATGAAATGAACACTACATCGGGTTGACGCTCATTTGCGTGCCCAACACAGTGATCATGCCTCATCATTGAAGTGAAACAAAAAATAATACAACGTTATCCATCATAATACAGATCGGGTATATGTTTATGTCAGTTATTATCCACCCCTATCATGCCCAGCCAGTGTTTGCATCCTGACAAATCAAGGTTAAAATAACAAAAACATTTGAACAATAAAGTCGTTAGCTATCAACGTGGACAGAAACAAACATCTTAATAAGGGAATAAATCATAGGGTATCAATCTGAACAGAAACAACTAATCGTTGCACTGCAAGAACTAGAATAAATTATACAATTCAAGCTTATGATCTCTACTAAAGTGTTTGGGGTGACAATGCCACGACGTAATATTACGAGCATGACTTAACATTACGATAAATGACCATTACTTTCTGTTTATGCTTCTTCCACCTGGACATTGATAAAAATCTGCATCCATGTCATTCCTAAAATTTACAATTTGCCCTGGAGCTTCTTTCATCCAATTCTACTGTTTGCCTTTTTAAAAAAAGCTACAAGCCAATGCACAACAGAGCATTACCCATTTTAAACATGAACTTATATTCATAATCATGACCCTAGACTCCACTAAGCCCACCGCCATTTTTCCCTCCTTTTTAGAAAATACAATAAGAATGGTTTCAATACAAATAATATTAAAATTCAGAGTCAATGAGGAAAATAGTTGCTAAAAAAGATAAAAAGACACGAACAATATCATTCAAAGAAATTTCACACTGGTAAAATTCCAATTCAGTTGCTGCAACATAAAAGAATCCGACAGCCACCGAAGTGAAATAAACAATATGTCTATGATTGAAAAAAGTAATAAAGTAAGGAATTAAGAAGAATCAAGGAATCTCATTTCACAAGGAAATTAAGGACAGCAAAGCCATACTTTTTAAAGACTTTGGATTTCTTTTAATTCATAATCCCATGTGAATGTACAAGAATTTTAACTCCTCTATAAAAAAAAAAAACTCAACAGGGATGTATCATTATAGGAGTGCATTTTTACCTGTCTCTTGGATGAAATAAATAATTAAGTAGATAAAATTTCACAAGTTAATTAATAGATTTTTTATTATAGGTAGTAAATATCACAACCTTGAAGAAATAGAAAATAAGGGCGTAAAATTCTTTCAATAACATTTGCACTGACTTAATTGAGTACAGCACAATGCACTGACCCAAAATGTAATGCTGCTATTTTTTAATCTTCATAATAGGGTCTGATACATGGACACAAGAATACTTAAGCGAGGCATATGCAAATAGTTACTAGAAAATAAAATGAAAACCACCAATCATAAAAATAAAATAAAATAACTGCTTTTAAAATATCCTCTTAAAGAATACCAACAAATTCATCAAAGATAAGCATCTATGTACAACTTATGACAAGGCACCACGCATTGTCTCTTGCCAGCAGTAGGACAAGGTCCATCCATGGCATCTAAAAAGGGCAACTAAAATCGGTTTGGTCAAAACAAAAACAACGTAAATAAAACATCTGGCTTTCACCTGTTTGTAATAACATCAAACCCGTCTCAATCCAGGAACGGAAACAACACAGCTGTTCAATTTCAAAAAACTTTTTTCATTTTCTGTTTTTACTTTTAACTAAAAAAGTGTCACCTTATTTTCATTTTGTTTCCTGTGTTTCAAATATTTGTCCAAAAAACAATAAAAACAGAAATGTTTTCTAAACCAAATAAATGACCCCTAACACATATAATTCCAATGTAGTCTGTTAGCAATATCCCAGGCACTGACGCTACGCACATTTCCTTCTTTGACCGTAAGATGAAAGTTCCATAAAGAAGCAGTGAATTTGCATTTAAAAAAAAAACATGGGCATAAATTAAGGCTTCCAGAAAAGTATCACATTCAATCTGACCAAGCATACATGTTAAAAATTTCACATTACTAGACATCTTTTTAAAATGCACAGCAGATAGGAATGTTCCAAATCCTGGATCATGCCGAGGAGCAACTGACCCTAAATACACTATGGCAGTAAGGCGGATAATGGGATGGCTACTATACAAAAGATGATGAATACAAGATAAGGTCATATTCCTAATTAATAATCAAAATTCATAGTCCAAACACATAGTCACCACCAATGTAAGGCATAATCACTATGGATGCAAACAGCAATGAGAACATAGGAATGAAGTAAGAAAAAGAAAGAATGGGGACGATAGTGGAATTAATTGGGGAAAAAACTGAACGCATTAGATACATATTAGGAGCATGTGAACTGTTAAGGAAGAAGAAAGAATATGTCTGAAACAGAGACCTGTGAATTGTGAAGCATGAATGGAGAGGAATCTGTGAGATGTGGGTCAGTAGCTGGAAAACATCAGGTTTGGCCAAAAACAACACTAGAGATGAGTGGGTCATTAGGGCAGACCGTCAAACAACAGAATTTGAAACAGAGGGAGGTCAAGTTTTTCACATGAATGATTAAGGAAGATGGATTTCAACCCTATGATGTTTCTGAAGCAACAAATGCACAACAATTCACAAGATTAACCAAAAGTAATTGGATTGGAAATTCAAATCAAGAGCAAATGCAGGTTTTTAGCCTCTACTTAATTCACAACAACAGTGGCTGCATTTTCCTGCCATAATGACATTGATTTTGGGCACAATGCCATGAACCAAAAGAGCTACCATATCAGCTACCCCCCTGCTACACAACATAATGGCATTATCACACTGCTATTGAACATAACATACAACACATTTAATTGTGCTAGAACCTTAGACAATACAAATAAGCATGAGAAAAGATTATTCATCTCCATTGGTCAAACAAACAGCTGTCATCATCAGACAACAGAATATAGCAATTAAAACGTAGCAGGATTACGTTTTAGTCCAAATATGTTGGTCATATGGTTAGAACCACATGTCAGACATCCATAGGGAAGTCTGGAATGGTGATCTGAGACAAAACAATCATAGGTATAAATAAATGAGGATGTGTCCAAAGGCTAACTATTTCTTTAACCCCCCCCCCCCACCCCAATTTATAATTTTTTCCTCTTCATTTTTATGAATTTCTTTTATCAAAACCAAAATGTACAAGGTTTTGTACAAGGCAAACAAGCCAGGGATTATCTTGCAGCTCCAAAAATCAAGCAACTAATAGGCATACTCATCAATTAAACGCCCAAAAACAAATCCCTGTATGGAAAAAGGTTATTTAAAAGTATTTCTTAAAATTATTGCTCTTAATAGAGTAAAGTACTAAGCTGGAGACATTTCATCCCAGAGCTGGAGACAATTCATCATAGAAGTTTCACATGGAAACACATGTAATAAGCCATAGTCCTAATTCCTTCCCAAGAAGATGTGCATTAACTCCCATCAGTATTTAAAAGGGAAAAAAAGAGAGGAAATAGATAAACAAAGAATTGCACCATCATGCATGAAAGCAGAAATCAACTATGAATATCCAGTATCTTACAAACGTTGAATCTGAGCTGGCAAATATATTTTAAAGGTTTCACCATATTGTGCTAAATCTTTAAGCTGTCTCCTCTGTTAGTCAGACTTCAGATAGCTGATGAGTGCGTGGCAAAAATAGTCAACATGCTTTTTCCCTTATTCTAATAATCTTTAAGGAATATTCATTAGCAAATTTTTTTATTTAGCCAAAAAAAAAATCATCAGCAATTTAAAATAATGCCAATTAAGGAACCTTGGGATAGATACACAAAACTGTCAATCTAGTGTAACGTGTAAGTTATACTGATGAATAAGAAAAGCATATACAAAGCATGAAATCCAAAATGAGAATATTAACAAAAATCAAGAATTAAGGCATCATTGAATTAAAAGGCAAAACCATAAAGTAAAACAGTTCAAGCAAAAACTTAAACCTCAAAATACAACTTTCCTAAACCTTCAGGGTATCTGAGAAGCACCTATCTCCAAAAGCAATGGTATAAGGAATATACATGTTAAGAGGTTAAACTAGTCACAAACAACCTACTAATTTCAGCACTGTCTCAACTGCTACCTAAATAGAATGTGCAACTCATCCCTACCCACTAATTGGCTAACGGGTCCATTGAGCAAATTCTGGTTACCCTAAAAAGCACCAACTAATGATAATGTAATAGAATGAGATACACATTATTAGAACACAAAATTTTCATACTTGAACAGAACTTTCTTTCTCTTCCATGCCAAAAGGCAAAACTTGTAGGTTACCCTCCTCCCCATCACCACAACAAGTATTGCTCAGAATCTTTCTTGTATCTTTATCATAATCTTGCACCATCATACGAAATCAGCATTCTCAGAACACTCCTCACCCCCTTGTTCTTTCTCGCACAACACATCACAGAAAAAGTCTGTCAAAACAGTCTCATAACCTGGCATTTTAGCATAACCAGGAAAGTAATTGATATCAATGATAAGGTATCGATTTCCACGCCTAGAATCTCGAATAACATCAAAGTTAAACAGATTCAGCTTCAACACACGCCTCAAACCCCGAGCTATTTGAGTAAGGAAACTCAAGGGAGGCATCTCAGCATCATCCAAATGCATCATCTTGTAATACTTATCATCAATTCTCTCATCAGTCGCCAAATTCGACACCTGTGAAAACGACAACAAGTCCTCCGAAACCCCCACCAACTCGTCCTCCTCAACATCCGGCAAGGATTTCCTCTTCACGCACTTCACGTGCTCTCCAACCACGTACACCTTAAAGATGACGCCACCGTGGTTCACAAATTCTTGCAGCACTATCGGCGGCTTCAGCTCGTTCAAACCGTCGTGGTTGAAAACAAGCGCCATTTTGTGCGACTTGGCGCTGCCGTCGGCCACCAACGGCTTCGCAATCACCGGAAACTTCAGCGTCTCCCAACTCCGGCGATCGAACAGCGTTTCCGTGTCGTATATCACAATTTGGTTCGGAATCCCAAAGGTCTCATTCCCGTCCTCGATTTTCAGCTCCGACACCACTTGCAGCATGGAAATCCGGTTGTGGAGCCTCTCGATAGATTCCGGCGAGTCAAGGACCACGGCATTCGGGTACTTCTCCGTAAACTCGTTCAATTGCCGCTTCCAATCGTCGCCGTAGAGTTTGTGGAGGACGCAATCGAAGGGACCTTGATCCGCCAGTAGCAGGTCCGGGTCGACCCGAACCAGGTCAATCCCGCGAGATCTCGCGAGACTCACCAGCGAATCTCTGATGAAGCTGTTTTGCTTCTTCGGCGCCAACGCGTAGCCTACGCGGAACCTCTTCTCCTCCGCCATTGTTTTTCTCTCTTCAAAATGGCGAATGCAGAACGCTCATGCAAGGTGGCGAACGAATCGCATTAGCGAGGGAATGAGAAGTGCGAGGATTTGGTGGAATTAGGGTTTTGTTCGCGGACTGAACGTCCTTTTGATGAAATCGAAATTTGCAGAGCTAAGAAGAATGGGAGAAGAGAGGGAAAGGATATAAAGAGAGGTGGGGGGATATATATAGCTTAGACTAGGGTTAGTGGGAAAAGGATCCCCTCCAGCGAGTCAGCGTCTATCTCTCTCTACCGCTTTCGTATAAACCGTTGATTTCATCAGAATGTTAAAATCTCCATAAGTCAAAAGCAAAATAAAGATTTAAACAGTATTTTGTTCTCTGCATAAAAAATATTATATTTAGTTTTTATATAAAAAAATGATAAACAAGGCTTTAAACGAAAAAATTATTTTTAAAACAAATTTTAATATTGTCGTTTATATAAAATTATTATTTTATATTTTTATTTTTATATCTAACCTTTTTTTTTTATTATAGTCTGCATGTATAACGCTTTTTTAGTCCAGTCTTCATATAAAAAAAAAAGTTTAAACTTTTTAAATTATAAGAATCAAAAACTAAAAATAATGTGTTACGCATCGGAATTAAAAAATTTATTATGCATATGTACTTAAAATAGAAAAAAAATACTTTAAAAAATTAAAATAAACACATTATCGATACAAGTTAAAAATAGTTAGGATGATTCAAGATAAATAATAAAATATAATTTATTAATTTTAAATAATGTACTTGCAATTTAACATACTTATTAAAACTGTTACCATAAATTAGTATTTAAGATTTTAATAAAAAATTTATTTTAGTATTTTAATTTTAGTACTTTAAAGATATTATTTTTAAAAATACTTAAAAAGAACAGCAAAAAAGTTACTTAAAGATAAAGTTTGGTTTAACTTGCCATACTTTTCAAATGGGCTGAATATACCAGTCTAACCTACTTTTGATATTAGTTAACAAGCAAATAAATTGACTCATTTAAAGAATTAAAAACTGCAAAGTAATATAAATTATATATATATATATATATATATATATATAATTAAAATATAACTTACTAAATGTATAAATATTATAATTAAAAAATTAATATTTATTAAATTTATATAAAAAATTAAGGAATATTAAAAAAAAAATTATCATCTTTTCAAAACATATTTGATATGATTAGTCAATTTACTCTACTCTTATTAAATTTATTTTCGAATACGAGTTAAGTGGAATGAGTTAAATGGATTTGTGAGTTTGAAATCTCTTACTTGTCTTTCAAAATAAAAGGTTAATTTAGCGAATTGAACTCACGTTATCAACTCTATTAATTTTAAAAAAAATCTATTAAATTTGATCGTTATTATACTATTTTTTTTTGTTTTATTTTAACAAATGTACAAATAATGTAAGTTTTTGTGTAAATATCATTTCAAAATGTGGAAAACAATGCTAAGGTGTAGTGGGCATTGAAAAATGGAAAATATAAGCAGATGCGGAAGATGATGACTCTTAAAGCGTCGAAAGGACCAAATATGAAATATGAATGACTTTTAAATCATACATTTGCATATGAGAATATAAGAGGTGCATGAACAAGTTGCAAGTTCCAATATAACTGGTCCTGTGATGTGAAGGAGTCTACTAAGAGTGTAATGAGGTTGATCCTTCTATTATTTATAACCAAAAGCTTAAACCCTCTATTCTGGCTACCATTAAGGTCACGATCGCTTGGACCAATCTTTGTCTCCCGATCACTTGAAAGCTGAAAGTAACCGCAGATTCTATACTACACTCAAAAACTATATCTTCAAACCAAATTTTGCTGACAAAATATGAGAGAAAAGTAAATACCATGAAAGCAATAAAACTCGAGTATTATATATTGATATTTTATATTTATGTGCTCGCGCGCCTAACATTTTAATGTTCCTTAATTTTTATACTGCTGTTTATGAAAGATTTTCTTAACTGTGTCAAAAACTATAATTCTAATTTTAAGAGATCAAAAGCTTTTCTTTTCATTTTTTTTTGTTGCCGAACTTTGTTGAATCAAAGTTATTTTCTCTTTTAAAAGAAAGGTCTCAACAAGTATAAAAGTTTGGTTTTGTAACGTTAAATTAAATAGGCTTTAAGTTTAACGGAACACAATACATTTATAAAGAAAAAAAAAGACAATATATATATATATATATGTTGAATCATTATAAGTAAATGAAACAATAGTTATTTCATCATTATTACACATTTATAAACAAATTGTGTAACCTTTTTTACTGACAGTGTAAAGAAATAGAACACAATAAAATTACAATCTCAAATGAGAAACCCCCATAGCGATGGAAGCATAAGGGAGGTGATTGATAAAAAAATAATAATAAAAAAAAAAAAAATCTTCTGTAATATGGAAGCACTAATTTTAGTCATCAAATTTGTACCAGAGTTACCCTTAACAAGGAGTGTGGACTAAAAAAGACATGTCAGTTCCTGAAACAAAGTTAACAAAAGAGCAAACAATCTGTGTAACTGCTAAACTCCTAGGATTCTTAATGCATGTCAAATATTTATTTGAACTAATAGCTTTAAATAACTGAAGAATAAATAAGCAACAAAAAAACATATAAAACCTAAAACTTTAATTAAGTTTTTGAATCATTTCTTTGATTAGCCTATGAGACACTTGTCTTCGAACAACTTCAAAAAACATATTCAAATTAAATTTTTGTAAAACTTGGACCACTTCTTAAAATAGAATCATTTTGAACCAATCCATCCAAATTAAAAGCTTGAACCATTTCAAAACATGTATATGACTGATTTTCAAAATTCAAATCGATCATCCCTTTTGACCAATCTAAAGCAAAATATTTTTTGTCCTGTTGATCTATAGTAGCTTCTTTTTCTACCTATAATCAAAATCAATTCCCGAAACTTAATTAGAATATTTTAAATGTTTTGTACCAACAATTACCCAACATTCACCTACTCCTTTATGATCAAAAGAGGGTAAGAGAAAGTAAATTGAGATGTAGAATAAGTGAACTCTACTTTTATATTTATAGAAATTTTTTAAATTTTAAGGTTTTTTATAGAATTGTTATTTAAGTAAGATTATATCAATGTTGACGTAAAACTTTACTGTACATGCATAAATATAAGTATATTTTAGTTAATATACATCGTCATATCCGTAACTTATTTTTAAAACTATTTATATTTATGTAGTATATCATACTCAATAGTCGTACGTAGTTGAAAATGTGGTATTCCAATTTTATTCGTCATTTGACAATAGAAAGGGATTAGTTTACTATTGGAACAGGGACATTCAATAAAGGAGGTGTAACAGAGAAGCATAGTGTTATACAACTTGTTTTATGTTGGTTGAAGTAATGTCAAAACTCAAGCGGTGTTCGAAAAGTTTATAAAACATTGAGAGGTTTGTTGCTGACGCAGCAAATATTGGTACACAAGTTGAGTGGTTGACTTTTATGCAATCAAAGGTCAACATCTTTTAGTTCGTTGAAATTCAATGCCAGCCACAGCCATTGATGTTGGCGGGGTAAGTGCCATGGTGCATTCTGCTGTTGACTTTAATATTCGGGCCTGTAGATGTAAAAAACAAAAAATAATTAAGATCAATGGGCTAGCCCTGGCCTAAGACTATGGTCCCATGACGCAGTGGGAGGCTAATTTCAGTGCCTGTTTGAATTGTTACTTGCTATCAGACCCAAAATATATATATTATTTGTTACGACGCAAAAAAAATTGGTATTTGTATTTTATAGTAAAAGAGGGACAGTATGTTTTTGGACTCGAAGAGAATAGTTCTATTTATATTTTGAATTTTTATAGTTGAAATTTTATTGAAAGTTTAAAATAAAAGACATTTCAAAAAATAATCGAAATCAAGCATGCATTAAGATGTCATTTTACTTCAAGGTGTCAATTCAAATAATCATTATATCATTTGATTTTTGTAAGGTAGCTATATAACACACCTTGTCAACCACGTAAACCGGACTATAGGATAGGCCAGAAGTGGGAATGGGCAAGTTAGCCAACCTAGCCCATGATAGCAGGGTTCTGCAAATAACAATTTTGACAATCATATTCAATGAAAAAATATATATATCGCATTCCACTCTATGCACAATAAAAATAAAATAAAATATTTTGACCAAATAAATAAAAAGAAAGTAAATTTTTAAGAAATGACTTAATTTGTGATATGGGATAAGAGTGTTTAGAAGTTTGATAGAAATTTAAATAATAATTACGAAACTAAAAAGAATATATAACCAAACTTGTCATCTGTCATGGCTATGCTAATTTCAGACCCAGTGATATAAAACAGTAGAGCTGGCAAAAAATCTCATGCAGAAATGGTAAAAATACAAACTTTTTCTTCTATAACTGAGAACCTAAGCCCAACACTGCAAATTAGGCTGGGTAATTTTTTTATTTTATTTTTAACAATCACAATGGACAAGGGCTTACTATAGTCTATAAGTTTTCTTCTAGAGCCTTAATGTCTGTAGTTTTTTTTTTTTATATGAATTTGCCTTTTATTTTTTCACTGCTGATAGTTTGCATCCCAGTACAGCATGGTATCTAAATATTAGGATTCCTTGATATATATTTACTTTTTAAAAAAATATATATGTTAATAAATTATAATTTGAATCTTCTTAAAAATTATTAAAGGCATAGTTTATTAATGTATTACTTAAAAAAAAGTTACTACATATTAACACTCACAATTGAGATATGTTTAAAGATGTAATTAGTTAAAATATTTTTTTGGTAAAATTATAATTTTTATCATTTATTTTTATTTAGGTTTTGTTTTGGTTTTTACTTTTTCGTTATATGCAAATTGATCATCCAAATCAATTTTAAATTTTATTTCAGTTTTTAATATTTTTATTTAATCATGTCTGCTACACTAGCTTGTTTGCCAGTTTGTTTTAACTGTGCTTCAATTTTTGTTTCATAGGATGGATGTTTTGATATTTGATATAAACATGAGTTTATAATAAAGATAATTAACAACAACAAAGATCAAGGTATGATACTTGGCCAATAATAATAAAATTCCAATATTTGTGAAGTGTTTAAAATGTAAAATAAAGTAAGAATGGATAGTTAATTAGAAATGATTTGCATGCAATTAAAAACATTTTCAATAATAATTTAAAATGTTGTAATAGTTATATATATAGCCCAAAGCATTGTTATTCGGATTTTTTATTATTATTATTAAATTTAGATAGAAATAGTATTAGAACAAATTAAAAAAAATAAAAGATTAAAGCAAATGAAAAATATTTAAAAACTAAAATAAAATTAGAATATTAAACTGAATAAATAAATAAGTTAAATAAAAAAAATTAATTTTAAAATATAAAGAGTATATTTTTGCCACAATGTTTCTGAAAGACGAGTAAAGTAAAGTGTACGTTATAAAATCTCGTAAATATTTTTGTGAGTAGGGACACGACACGCGTAAATTAAGTGACCTTAGTGGAAACGTCTAGGGTCTATCTACGTATAAAAAAGCCACAAAGATAACGAAAATTCGCGGTTGCTATCGTTGCTTCGTTTTAACCGCTAAATCTTGAAAGAGTCGATTTCATCGACCGGATCTTATTCTATATGTTTGAATTATTGTCCAAGTGGAAGGACCCCAATCATGATTGAAACTTGAAAGCAGCATTTTTTTTTTCTATATTAAAAGTACAAGATGGATAGGATTTAATTTTAATGTACTATGGGATAAACTTTCATGCTATCACATTAAAATGTTTTATTTTTATTTTTTAATCATTAATGGAAGAAACGATTAAATAAACTTATACCATAGACAATTTTGTGAAACAACTCTCAACAAGTTAAACACAAATATGGATTCAACCGGACCGCTTTAATATTTATTTTTATGTTAATAGTCAAATTAATACATACAGATGTTAAAGAAATAAAAAAAATACTTTATGATATATCGTATCCTTGTTGAAAATTGATTTGATCATACTAACTTCCAACTAAGACATTACATGATAATAAACAATTAAACCCAATTATGTATGTATTATGTACATATAAACTTAAGTTATTTTTTTAATATTATATAAATGAATCAAAGAATACGTACATGACAGAGTCATCTAACATACAAATGTTAAAGAGTGAGTAATAGATAAATAAAAACAATGTTAAGATTATTATTTTTTCTAAATATCATTGATTAAAATGTTCAACGTCATTCATAAAAAAAAAATGCCCAACATTATTTATATAATAAAAATTATTAAAAACAAATTATTTAATATATTCTTATAAACACACTTTGTTATTGAATAAAATTTATTACAAATTATAAAAATTTATAAATTTCACCATTAATTTAACAGTTTTTATTCACACTTTTATAATTTAAAAAATATTAAACGATAAAAAGTTGTGAAAAATAGTATATATCATCAAAAATAATAAATCACAATAATATTACAACAGTATATAACAATTAAAAAGAATAAATTTAAAATTGCAATGCTAATGTCCTCAAATATATAAAAAAAAAACCCATAAAATCACTACCTCCTTATAAAAAAAATAATTTGAGAGAACCCTAAGAAGATTAAAAAGATTTTCTTTCTTTTTGTCTCTCCTTCTAAATTAACACACATAAAATTACAAAAGGATCCCTCGATTCGGCAACGTTGTTGAAGTCTTTTCTATTTTGTTTTACTGTAAATTATGGTCTCTGCTCTAACTAAAATGTTAGGATTCTTCAACAAAGAATCTTTGACGGAGAAATAAGGACTTCAAACAAAATCAATGGGATTGAGCATGTCGAATAAAATCCAGAATATACCTTTTCATTTTGTTTTTCTTTTATTTTATAATTTTGCATTCCTTTTTGTATTTTTCAAAATTTCAACTGTGCTTTGTATATATTTTCTTTTAAGAACATTACGTGACTCAAATAACTTTTTATGATAAATGCTTAATTTATTATATATTAATGTAAAATTATTATTTATTAATTAATGTCTTACGTTTTAATGGTTATAATACGTCCCACCAAACGCTTGTACGGTTTAATAAATTATTCTTTAAATTTTTTTTAAGAACAAATTTTTTGAAAATTTGGAAACAATTAAAAAAGCATTTGATTTTGAACTTAAAAAATTATATCTTAAAAGGAAATAGAAAAATGTTGGAGCAAAGAGACAAGAGTTGAGGTTTTGCGTGGAACAGCCAGAAAAGCACATTACCGAGGGCGCACTGGATGTTTGGCAATAATCAATGTTCACACTCCCACGTGCCTAATGCGTCCCATCATCTACGTCGTTACAATTTTAATCAAAAACCGCATAAATCAATTAATACGCTGGCCAGTGGTTATGGGACCCACGCCATTCACCTGCACAATATAAATATAAATCCCCATTTTTTGTAACCTTTTTATCCTACGAATATTCAATTAAATATTCCTGCGTCGCTTTTAAAAAATTGTGTATTTGATATTTCAAATTCTAAAAAATATTATTAAAGTTTTTTTATAAATAAAATAAGAATTGATTTAAATATATTGACATTGTAATTTTCTTATATTGTCATGAATTGTCAATAACTATTAATTTACATGATAATTAGTGGTAAAAATATACTTTCAGTATAATTAATTAATTATAAAAAATATATAATATGTTTTGATGGGAATTATACTAAATAATTTTGCACTCAAGATTAAATAACAATAACAATTTATAACGCCTTAGAAGAAATATTAAAAAATCATGTGATTGTGTGTTTTTTCAATTTAATACAAAAAGATGAGTTTGTTGATTGGTTGCTTTTTAGTCCGAGATATATACTCCAACCACCAATATTCTTTGTCTGTGTAGAAACCCTTTGTGTATTTGGTTTCTCTCCTGAAGGTAAAGCGGAGAAGAGAAGCAAGGAAGGACCCTTGTTCCCTCAACGAAGGAGAGATGGGGAAGGAGGGTGAAACCAAAGTGGTGGAGCAACCTTTGCCACCGCCATCAAAGTTCCCGTTGAGCTTTTGGGAAGCCACGGTGGCTTCAATGGTGGCCATGCTTTTTGTGGTGGGTCTTCTCTGTGTGTACCTCACCATGCCCGATTCGGATTACAGCTTCCTCAAGCTTCCGCGCACCCTCCAAGACCTTCAACTCCTACGGTAATGTTCAACGACCAAACCTCTTTTTCGTGAATAACAAAAAAAAAAAAAAACCACCTTTACCTCGTTATTGCTTGTTGTGATGAAAACCATCAACTTTTTTTTCCCTCTATTTTCTGTTGTTTTATTATTGTACTTTTGGTACAAGCTGATTTATCAATTTTGTGATGGTTAATTTGTTGCAAATGTGATTACTCTTTAAATAAACGTCCTGGTTATTATCAGTTTGGTTTGTTCCTTGGAATGAATCTGACCCAGAACCGTAATTTCTGTGAAATAATGATAATTGCACAAAACCAACTTTTGGGAATGTTGTGCAGAGGGATAAAATATGACTTGGAACAACAGATCTGAAAAGGTAACTGGTTGGGAAAGAGATCCCACAGTGTAAAAGGAAAAGGGCAAGTTGAAGTGAGAGTTATTTTAGGGTTATTCTGCTGTTGTTGTTAGTTGAAGGGTATGCTTTGAGTAAAAAAGATGGCGTCTTTACTTGCAAGTGTATGTTAGTTGAAGGCCCACGGCCTATAATGGTAGGGCATCCATTAGTGTCAGCTTTGTGTGTGGCTTGCAGGTGGTCCTAGGTTCAAACTATTATACCATCCATGCAATTGAAAAAATAATTGCATCACCAACCAAGTCTTAACCCGTTGTGCATAGAACCAAGTGCTATGTTTTTTATGATTCCATTGCGTTTTGCATCAAGGATGTAGGCTTCAAAAGAGGAGTTCATTGTCAATGTTACTCACCATGGCTTCCCCCTTGCTAGACCACTGCTCATATGATTATATATTTGGCCTGATACTTAAATACCAATTGAGGTGGTTAAATGGAGCCGAAAAGAGACTATCTGATGCCAAGTCTTCAAAATTTTGACCACATTTAACAAAACCCAGATACGATTCCCCAATAATTTAATCTACAGTGGGAGCCATTAAATGATGAGATTTATTATGTTTAAGACAGTCTACTGGCTTTGCTTTTCATTTCAATATGTTTACATAATCTCTCTTATTTTGTGTCAATTTGTGCTTTTGTAGAAAGGGAAATGTAGTGGATTATATGAATGCAGAACACAATGTTGGCAATATAAATTGTCCAATGCTTTATCTATCTTTTCTTTATTTTTGTAGAGATAACCTTGAGAGCTATACAAGTGACTACACTGCACAAGTCTTGGTGGGATACTGCGTGGTTTATATTTTCATGCAGACTTTCATGATTCCAGGGACTGTATTCATGTCATTGCTTGCGGGAGCACTCTTTGGAGTCTTTAAAGGTGTGGCTTTGGTTGTATTTACTGCCACAGCAGGAGCTTCTTCATGTTATTTCCTGTCAAAACTGATTGGAAGACCTCTTCTTTCTTCTCTCTGGCCTGAAAAGTTGAAATTCTTTCAAACCCAGGTTTATTTCAACTTCCCACCATATTGGATTTAATTAAAAAATAGAGAAATCAATTTGTACTTTTAACCTCCAGGTGGCGAAAAGAAGAAAGAGTTTGTTGAACTACATGCTCTTTCTGAGACTGACTCCGACGCTGCCCAACACATTTATTAATTTTGCTTCACCAATTGTGGATGTTCCTTATCATATTTTCTTCATGGGAACTGTCATTGGACTCATACCTGCTGCATATGTCACTGTCAGGGTATGTAGCTAACAATATACTTTTTCTTTTGGCACGAGTTTCTGCATGTAGTGAGTTTTTCACAGAATACTGGAAATCTTAGTCAACGACTTTCAGCGTTATCCTATGATAACATCAAAGTAATACTCTCGATATGCATTTAATCTTTTTAATCATTAAACAACTTAATAAGGAATCATAAGAATTTCAAATGCCACTTTGCGTGTGTTTGAGTTTCTCTTTTTCTTATGCAGGCTGGATTAGCTCTTGGAGACTTACAATCCGTGGGGGATCTCTATGATTTTAACTCAATTGCTACTTTGTTTCTCATTGGTGTTGTTTCAGTAACACCCACACTAATGAGCAAGAACGAATCATAGCATTTCAGAAGCCAAGAATCTTGGAAACGAGGCCCTTGTTCTAGTGACACCTAATACCAATTCAGTATTTGTACATATCTCCAAAAAAAAGGAAGAAAAAATTGCATTGTGGTTCTCTGCTAATGGATTTATTGTGAAGTGCTGCAGTAATTCAAAGCAATCATATGATTGATGGTTCTATGCCAGTGGCCAAAAATGACGTTTGGCTGAATTAGTTATGTACATGATTCATAAGTTGATGTGTAAAACATATGCTTATTAAATAGTAGTTGCTTGTTCATGTTTTTTAACATACACAATGATTTAATCAAAATGTGTTCCTGATTTTTCCGATCATTTGGGTGCACATCAACTTTACTTTCATTTTCATTTGTTTCGTTTTACAATGTTATACCCACTAAGAGAAATAGCTCCTGCCGACAGCATATTCTGGCATAATAACAAGAATGACAGCGTTTCTTTCTACTCAGGCCGAGTTATTGAACCATCATCAACAGCAACTCATCACCATCACTGTCCTCTTTCTTTCATCAAGAATAAGAGATCATAACAAGGGAAACCCAAGTCCAATGCAGATTTCGCTTCTAAATTGATCTTATATAGACATCCTCGCAAATATGAAATTGTGAAACATTTTATTCTCACAATACATACCTTTTGGAAAATCCCCAGATTTGAGCAGCAGCTCGAAGGGCTTCGTGAAGCACAAGATCACTAAGCATTTTGTATTGCTTTCAAAAAGTACGCTTTCTCTAACTAGTGGAACTATTAGAAGTTATTTAAATTACAATTTATTATCTTTTACGTGAATTCTTCAATAACGCGTCACTTCTTTCTACCTTCAATTATTTAAGCAAATTTATGGTCTAATCTTGTCACAAGTCACCAACTACCGAGAACACCCCCCCCCCCCAACTTTTTGCTGATTTGTAGTTTTGAAGCAACAATTGCTTGGACAAGGAACGATTCTATATTTAAAATGACATGACAAATCATCTCTTCAATAAATAAGTCTAAATAAGCTACTGTTACTTATATTAAAAAGTGATTTAATCATCTCCGGTTACTGGATTGAAGAAACAATCCAACAATTTGAAAATTAATACCGTATGTGATTATTACTCTCTCTTTTTTGTCCTTTTCATAAACACACATCTAAAAACAATACTCTTCAAAACCAAAGGGGATAGCAAAAGATGTCCCACTTTAGATGGACAAGAAACATTTTCCTATCCCAAAATCATGAAAGGAACAGTAGGCCACTTGAGTTGTCTTTGACTGGGAAGATGAGTTTGTAGAAGCGAATAATAGGGTAAGCTAACATCAATTATTACTGTATTTTCCCTTCAACCACTCACTCATAAAGCTAAGCAGCTGTTAGCACAGTAACACCCACGATCCTCCCGTCATCTCACAATACCCTGCACTGAAAATTTAAACAGGATCTTCTCCCTCATTTAGGTTCACATTAGTTATACTTTCATTTTCTCTGAACAAAGTCCCGCCGAGTGTTTCGTTTTACAATGTCATGTCTATCCAAGTAATGAAACCTACGCTTCATGCACAAGAGTCGCAGGTGTGACACGGATTCCTGGCGTGTATCGGAAAAAAGGAAAGGAAGGGAAAGGAAAGGGGCTTAACTCTACTTATTCCTCTCTTTGGATTGGTAAGTGACTAAAAGATAGAAGTAACGTAACACTACTACTTTAGGTTTCGAAGATGAGATTTTCTAATTTTTTTTACGGTCCATCTCTATTACCTAGAAGTAATAAACTGATGAGTAGGATTAAATTCATCTGAATTCATCGTCATATTAAATTGTACAAAAAAAGAAGAAAAACATAACATCGTAATGCAAAGAAAACGATTACCCCTAAAAACCCTCAACTTCGAACTCCCAAAACGAAACCTTCCAACCAAAATAAAAACGAATTACAGGACGCTTTACTAAGTACATAAAAGAGGAAATAGTAATGGATAAATTGAAGCCTCAATCGAGCAGCTAAACTAGTCAACATTCTTGAGAACCAAAAGTTCGGGAGAAAGAATTGACGATGATGCTCCATTCCAAGGGAGAAAATGCCACAAGCCTTGACAAGGCCTTATAGTGGAACTTACATATAACCTACCAACAAAATCATACTATAAACTAATAGTATTACAAATCAAATTGAAAATAAAATAAAGTGAGACGATAATGTAAAAAGAATTTAAACGTACGAGTGAATATGGATCCCTTTCTCCACTGATTTCTAAACTCTCTTCGTTCGCCACCAAATGTGACTAATTTTTTAAGTCCCCTTAGAAGCAATTAACTGAGAACACTGAAATGTCCCATTTGCTATAAAACCATGCCAGTATCAGCAATTTTTTTCTCCATGTGCACACATCCTCTCATCAGCCATTACAACTAGCAAATTCTAACCAGTAACCAGGGCTTATTAATCCCTTATACCATAAGAAACATGCTACCTGTTCTTTCTGGCTTTCTTATTTCGTAAGGAGCTATTGGGAGTACGATTATCAAGCTTGCGTTTTACCCCTGCTTGTTTTGGTAGACCACTCTCCTTCACCGACTTTGCTTTAACCTTTCTGGCAGCTACTGCTGGTCTTTTCATATTGCGCTCTTTTGGTTTTTCTCCTCCAGGAATTTTCTTGGGGACGTTGGATTTACTTGCACGCAGACCCTGATAAGAAGCATTAGTTTTTCTGTTTGAGTTGTTCTTACTGCTTGAAGGAGACCTAGGATCCACAGACAACTTCTTTGCAGGTGGAGTTTCCGTTGGCAATGAGTTGGGCCTCTTAGATTGGGTAGCATCAGCTTTGGCATGACTGGGCCTCTTAGATTGGGTAGCATCAGCTTTGGCATGACTGGGCCTCTTAGATGGGGTAGCATCAGCTTTGGCATGACAAAGCCTCAATTCTCGGTCTCGAAGCTTCAAGTTCCGTTTCTTAACAAGAAATTTAGCGGCTTCCTGCATTCACACGACACAGCTTTAATAAATATTTATAGGCAGAGTTCCAGAGGATAAGACATGGAAAGAAGTTTTAACATTCTTTATACCATTTTTTGCATGTGATAACATTTCCTTTAATAACAACCTAACAACATGTCTCAAACTTATCCAGTCAAACACTATTTTGAACACCAACACTGATATTATGCAATACCTTCAGAAGTTGCATTAAAAAAAGCCATCAACATATCCTAACCCAAAATGCTCCTTTTGTAGGACATCTCCCAGAGTTGGACAAAAAAAAGAACCATTAAGATGAAATGTTTAAACATCAAACAGTATCCACAAATAAATAAGCATTTAAACGTCCAAGCCAAACTCAAGGTCAACAATCTTCAACCGAGTTATCTGACTTAAGCTATGTAAGCCAATTAAAAGCCACCACCTGGATTCAATTATAAAATGATACATGCCATTTAAATTATGCTAATTTAGCAATAAGCAACCAGTTTTTCTCATGCAATTTTTGCATCCTCCTAATTGAAAAATCAATTTTTTGCTTTCTCCACTTAAGTAATCAGACATGGGTTTACAGAGGGCCTAAATCAAAATTTCAAATCATGAGGACTTAAAAAGTACAAAATGCAGCCTAACTGTTAGGGCACTTCAGTTCAGTCTCATACGTAGTTACATATCATTCAAATAAAATGGTTTCTTCGTGAAATATGAGGCCTTTATGGTCTTATCAACCACAAATAGACCCAGTAGTTTCACCACCCAAAGAGATGCACACAACAACATAAATTGTAACATGTTTGAGCTAAATATGTAAAAGAGCCTATAGTAAGAACTTAAATCTAAATGTAACTATTCAGGGACAAAACAGCATACCCTTGTTTTAAACAGCACATAGGCAATGCCCTTCCCAACATTAAGATGAGGATCTCGAACAACTCTAACAGCTTCTATACTTGATTCCAGATTGGATATACCACAAAATAACTGATAAAGCTCTTCATCCTACAGAAAAGGATCACATGTTAGATCCATTAGACAACATTGATGCAATTTTATGACCTCAATCAAAAAACTATTTACGGAAAACACACCTTCACATCAAATGGAAGGTTGCCCACAAAAACAGTTCTCTTACTATCATAAAGTGGAGCACTCTCCCCTTTATGCTTTTTGCGGGGTGGGCATGCCCTATCAACACGAATGTGATTTCCTTCAACCTACAGCCAGATTATTAAACAATATCATAAAACTGTCAACTGCAACCCTTCACCAAAACTACAAGGCAAACACATATTATTAGATTCAACCAAACTTAGAGTAACAAGGGCATACCATCGTCATGTTGTGGGACAAAGAAGCCTGAGCAGATTGCTCGGTTTTGAAAACAATGTAAGCATGAACACTGCAAAACACAGTTTATGTCAATTAGAAATGCCTGAAAAAGGTTCCTTTACAAACACACAAAAAAATGTATTCATGTGAGACTGTCCACAAGTCACTTGATCACAGGAAGAAAAAACAAAATCTATGTGCAAAATGAAATACATGGAAGGAATTTGTATAGCTCTCCTTAAAAAGCATTAAATAAAAAGCATAATGACTATTTTGCCCAAATCAAGCAAGGCTCTACTTTGCAATGAATTCATGGAATCAAAAGATATGTACAAATAAGTGCATTCTCCACAAACAATTAACAATATTCCTGAGAAGTTATAGCTCGGTAATTATTCAGTTCAGAAACATTACCTATCAGCAGCATCATTTATTTTCTTCGCAAGGATTGCCCCCTTTCTAGGTTTCTTGGTCTGGCTCATCACCAAAATAAACAAGCATGAAGTTAGCATCCGACAAAAAATATTGAAACCTAAATAGTACAAAACACAACAAAGGGAACACCTACATCTTGTATTGGAACAGAACGGATCCTCACAGAATCAACCTCACCAAATTTCTTAAACTCCTTCAATAGAGTCTTCTTTTTCACCTTGAGAGGCAAATTCCCAACAAAAATAGTCCTCAAAAGCTTATCCTCATCATCAAAACCCTCTTTTGACACCAACATATCAGCTGGATTATCCAAAGTCTTCCTCTTGCTCCCAACAGTTTTACTCCCAATTTTTTCCTTTTCAAATTCCTCCCCTCCCTCCACTGGCCCATACTTCCTTTCCTCCCACTCTTTCTCAAGTTCATCCCTTTTCCTCTTTTTCTTCCCCTCCTTGCCCTTCTCAATTTCTCCCGCACCCACATTAAGCTTTTTTTCCCCTTCCCCTACCCTTTCATCGAAACCTTGTTTCCTCTTCTTCTCCGACACGTCGACAACGGAATCGGAATCGAAGATGGGGTTTTTCTCCTTTTTCCTTTTCCTCTTTTTCTCGTCGCTGGAATCGCGGTTCCCAGAGACAACGTTGTTAGGGCTCAGAGTGTGATTGGTTGAGTTGGAAGCCGGAGCAGGTTGTGGAGGCTTTCTACGAAAGGGGTTGTCATCGGAAAATAGAGAAGCGGCGGGGGTTGCGGTGGACTGTTCCGGCGCGTTGCCGAAGAGCTTGTTGAAAATGCTGGAAGGGGATGAAACGTCGTCGGTTTGGGTAGTTTGTTGCGGATCCTTGGGTTTCTTCTTGCCCATTAGTGAGTTGAATGGGAGGAATCGGAAATCAATGAAAGAATTGTTCGGAGAGAGAGAGAGAGAGAATTTGGCAGAAACCCTAGAATCGGTTTAAGGAAGGAGGGAAGGGCATGCAATTGACACGTAGGAAACTTCAAAACTATTTTCACATAAATAGAAATAAAACCTTTTAAAACACAAATATTACCATCTTATTATGAAAACCATTTCCTTTATTTTTCTACCAAATGTCCTGGTTATTTATTAATAAAATGGAAGTTTAATTATACTGTTTTTAATTTTAATTTATATTAATATTGATTATTTATATTAAATTTTTTATTTTAATTATTCACATTTAATAATTAATAAAAATATTATATAATATTAGTTCATACAAATTCATAGAAACATATATATATATATATATATGTACTTTTTTCAATTTCAATTAATCATATTTAATTTTTACAAAAATTCTTCAAATTGAGTCTTTCATTTTAAAATATCATTTGATAATTAATAAAGACACACAAGTATAACATATTATTATTTTATATAAATTAACAAAATATAAATATATAAAATATTTAAATAAAAATAATATAGAAAATATAGTAGTTTTATTTTTATTAATTATTTTATGTATTTTTACTTTATAAAATTGTATAAACTAATAAGATATTATATGTGCATCGTGTTTTTTTATATATTTTATTAAATTTTGAGGTAAGAAATTAATTTAAATAATTAAAAATTTTAAATGAGTCATTAAAATTGAAGAAATTTAAATAATGGATATATTAAAGTGTACGGATTAAAAATAAAAATTAATATTTATAAATGTGAACAAATTAATGAAATAAGGAACTGTCAGTTGGTAAGGAAAATTTTAACTATCATGTTTTTAAATTAGTTTAAATTTTAAATATCATAAAGGGATCGAAAATAATTTCATCATCTAGTTAGTTTTTTAAGTTTAATTATATTTTTAGTTAACTTATTTTAATTTGTGTGTGATTTTAATTTAATTAAATTTTCTATTTGAAAAAAAAGTGATAAAACTGTTATGTGAAATAGTTTTAAATGAGTAAAATTAAAAAAAAATTATCTAAATTTAGAGAAAGTTTTAAGATGTTGAATTAGAGTTTGAGAATAAAATTTTTTATTTCCTCATATTTTAACTTAAATTTAATGTTTAAATTACTATATTTTAACTAAAAGAAAGTTTAAAATAATTTAATTGTTAATATATTATTGCAGGCTGATAATTTTTTTCTTTTGTTTTCTTTCTAATTTCTAAAATGTCGTTTTATATTAATAATTCTTTTAGGATTTAAGGTTTAGGGTTCCTAATTACTATTTTTTTTTTCTGTTTTGTGGTAGAATAACTTTTCAATTAAGTTATATTTAATAAAAATAACTTGCATTTTATTTAGGAGTATTAGTTTTTAGATATGCCTACGTATCAGACTTAAAATTTTGGTCAATTAGCATAAAAATTTGTGCACATGTCGAACTTAAAATTCCTCCAATGTTACGCATGGTGGTTGTAAAAGTTTCCAGTTTCTAGTTAACCTTAAACACATTACATAGGGTAGCGTTTTATATAAAAATGAATCTATTTGATAAGTATTAACTTATATTGGTCATAAATTACATATTATTGGCTGAGAGATTTAATTCGTAACCAAGTGCTAATTATCTGTTGAGTTATTAATCCCATTATCCTATTACAGTATGTAAGGCAAATGAAGAGCACAAAGAAAAGAAAGCAAGCTAGTTTATTAGTGGCTAAATACGAAACTGCAACAGTATCTTACTTAAGGGTCATTTATTCTTAATAAAAAAATTTCCAGGTAATCCGTGTAAGTAGGATAGACCCCTGAAAAAAAAGGGAGGGCTCATCGTCTGTGTTTTGTACGAAATTTTCAATTGAAAACACGTTTAAAAAGTTATAATAATTAGATAAATGTCTTAAAAAAATTAAAACTCAGATTATTTTTTGTTGAAACAGCAAAAAACACTGAATGAGAGTACCAAAGATACTCAGAATACAGCACAGCACACCCACTGTAAGTTGGTGTAAAAAAGATTGTTTAAGTGTTTGTTTCGCAGATAGAAAATTGTAATTTCTGAAACAAATTAAATATCATAGTAAAGACGTTTTTTTTTAAGATGTGACGAAGAAATATATCACAATTAACTATATGATATTTTCCTTCAATTATTGAAAAAAATTATGCACGTTATTATCAAATAGCGTCAGAGATGCGAGTGAGAAATAAACCAGTGTGCGTGGATTGTCATCCATTATATTGGATATATATCATTCCCCTTGCCCACAGGAAATGATACGCGACAAATTAAAAGATCGGAAAACCATAATAATTTTCGTTATGGCTGCACTTTATTTTTGTATGTAATGAAAGGAGAGCTGAATTGATAAACCTAAAGGCAGATATTTTTCAAAAAGGATGCTATGGTCTTATATTAATCCATTGTAGTTGTGATTAGATATTTTCTGTTCTATTGTGGAAAAGATGGGCCATGATTTAATCGTAATTAATCGATGTTTGATAGGCATGTTGCTATCCTACCCAATCCAAAATTAATTTGAATTTGTACTTCAGCTAGGGAGTCGTGGTTACTCACGCTCATTATGCTCAAAACAGCGCTGAGTGATTAACAAAACAGTAGTTTTAACATGCGCACACCCACGCACAAAGAAGTTAACTGTAGCAACTTTCTGCTAAAAGTAGAAAACCATGCTTTCCCTCAAATCATTGAGTTGTATGATAGTATTTTTCTCTTCTAAAAATAAGAATGTATAAAATGAAAAAATTAATAGCACAAAACTTCCTTTCAATTTCTAACAAAAACATTAATTTCACCACATCAAAGTAGCAGTTTTACCAGATTCAATAGAGTAGTTAGAGTTCAGACAAATTAACCTTAAACAATGGATTTAAGCTACAGAAAAAGATAAAGATAGTTATTTTGTGTTACCATACGATAGCTGATTTACAAAATCAAGAGAAACATGAACATGAACCCAGCGTAACTGTCTGTCTATCTACATTGAATCGATGTAATTAAATAGCAGCGTAACGAAAATTGGCAGTGCATTATTTAACAAAATGTTACAACTTCGTATCCTTAACTAAATACTGCAAAGAGTTACATGTACAAAGAAAGTTACATGGTACAGCAAGTTGAAGGAACAAGAAGGAAAGTAAAAGACACAAAGGTTTCGCTTTCATTCTCTCATCTTCTAAGGTAGGGCCTCTTTTAGGAGCTCACAGTTAGACACATCAAACAAAAGAGAAGAGACCATTTATTGTTATCGTGTAGTGTAACCTTCACATTCAATGCCAGTTAGAACTATAAACACACAGGTGGCCTTCACAAACCCCATGAACTACATTTCTATTAAAAAGCAGCGATCATCCCCGTCGCCGTATTCATCTTCATTTCTCCGTCATCAGCTTCTTCTTCTTCTTCTTCTTCTTCCTCCTCCTCCGCTTCCCACGTGAAATGGGCATAGGATCCCAGTACCGTACTACACATAAAAAGAAACAAACAATTATTAATTTATTATTGTTATTACTTATTTCCTGTTCGGTTGCAGAAAAAACGTTAAATTAAGATTAATATATACCAATCATCAGGAGCAACATGAATTGCTTGATCGAAATAAGATTTGGCTCTCTTTCCGTCTCTCTCCGTTTCCCATATCAATTTCCCGTACAGCGAAAGAAGCTCGCCATCGCTTGGATTTGCTAGAATTGCTCTTCCGTAATATTCCTCTGCTTTCGCCGTGTCTTTTTCCACCTGCATCCGTCCAAATTCAAATCAATGATTTTATTTTTTCTGAGAGATTAATTGAACGATTGTCGTTTGTGAAACTATTTGACAGTCGACACACCTCGTGAAGAAATTTGGCGTAATTTCTCAGCAGAAGCGAGTCCGTCGGGTTTGACTTCAACATTTCCGCGTAGTACGCGCCGATTTTAATCCTCTCACCGCCGTTCCCGCCGGTTACGGTTGCGGTGCCGTGATCGCCGCCTTCGCTGGATCCGTTCCCGAATCCTAGTTCTTCCACCGGAATTCGGCTCTCCGGCTGGACTCTGACGTGGAGTGGCTTGCGTAGAGCGGTTCTACCTTCGCCGTCGGAAAGGAATTCCTCTTCGTCGGGTATGATCCGCGGAAAAGAGCGGGATTGGCTTCGATTCGGATTCTGGCGAACGCCGAAATCCTCGCTCGCGGACCGAATCATCGCGCCTCCCGTTGACGCTCTGTTTATCCCGTTCGGCGGCGTGTCCTTGCGGTGGTTGGAGTGGAAATGCATTGAAAGCCTAGGCGATTGAACGTGGTTCCTGTCGCCGGCGAAGGAGGCTTGGCGCGTGAGGGAGACGCGTGGTGAACCGGGAAGGACCGGATTCAGGACCGGAACCGAACCGGTTCGTATGAGAGAAGCTCTCATAGTCGTAGCCTTTTATGACTGAGAAGGTTGAGTGCGTAAAGAGCGATCACCACCTCACTTCTAAAGAAATGTTCAAAGAGACCCTTTATGTTTGGGGTGGTGATGGGTAAAGAGTATGTAATTTATAGTCGAATCTCGGCCGTTGGATGCGCTGAAAGGGTTGACCTAAGTGGCCACTGGATTACGACACGCGTCCTGGGTGCACATGCACTCCCGGAGGAGGAGGTGCTGTTTAGTACTATTTTTCACTAATGTCCTTTTATTAATTTATTAATTTAAGATTAAAGAAATAATGAATGTTTCATATGAAGTTTCGATATCATTGTTATTAGTTCAATCATTCATATAAAAGAGCTTTGTGACATAAGTTGATTATGAAAAAAAAAATCCGTTTTATTCTATTTCTGGCTTAAATTTTATCATCGGAAGAGTGTTAATAAAGTAAGATGATAGTGTTTTATAATTGATATAGTGATTAATAAATTGATTAAAATTACAGGTGGTAGAGGGTTCTAAGGTTTAGACAAGATACCTTTCTGTGGGAGGGAGTCGCTGAAAAATGGATTCACGGGAAGTGGCTGAACTGTGATTAAGTGTAGATATTACGCCACGTAGATAATGGCGTGATCAGGTGAAGTGAGACTATGCACTTTACGATTTGCAAAGTGCGTATTACAAGCTTTATTCACTTTTTGATCATGTGAAGGAGACTGACGTGTTGAATTGTCAATGTGCTTCTAACTTTGAACAAATGCTAAGAGTTTGTTCTTTTTATTTTGTGTTTGTGAATTGTTTTTTCGAATCTTTAATCGCTGATATAAAATGCTGGTTTCTTCCACCTAATTGAACTTCTTTTCTCTCAAACCACACTAAGCCAAACATCAAATTTCATTCAAAATACAAATAAAATTCAACCTTTTCCTTTAAATTTTTATCTCACATATAGAAATTTTATTTTATATAATAGATTTATCAAATATTTAGACAAAAAATAATAATTTAAAGAATTTAAATAGAAAATTAATAAAAATGACTAAATTACACAAATTTAAAAAAATTAGACTTAATTAACCTAAAAAATAAAATTATAAATAAATAAAACTAAAGAAAGAAAAGTATAATTAAACCTTAATATAATCAATGAAGCAGCCGTTAAAAGATTGAATTCCTCCTCCTGAACATGAACATAGAATTTGCGCGGACAGAGGAGTGAAGAAACTTGCAATAAATATAGAAAATGACAGAAAAGTGGGAGATTCATGGTGTGGTTGTTGTATTTGTGGGTAAAAAGGTATTTTCTTCCTCCTTTTTTGGGTTAAATAAATCCCGGAGCCCAGAGACAGTAACCCAGAAATGGTACGAATAGGATTGCTTTCCAACGTTCTCCAATGGTTTTCTAGCTAAGATGGTTTTGTCTTTGGAAACAGATATTTTGCGGTAACATTTTCACTGAATTAAATCTTATCTATTAAAATGTTATAAATATAATATTAAATTTTATTACATAATATATTTTAACATACATCAATGATTGAATTTAAAACTGTAGCCTTGTGCAATGAAAGTCACCCACTTGAGAGGACATGAATTCTTTTATCATATGGAGACAAATTGAGTTGAAAAGGTCAACTTAGAAGGAAAAGGTTAATTTCCTTATGAAACACTAAACACACTTGAGAGGAGAAGGTTGATCTCCTTTGTCACGCTGATTTTGAGCAAGGGATCATAATTGGAATTAGATTTTTTATTTATTTTTTAACATTCGTAACTGATAAAATATTTATCTGTAAAATTAATTTGGGCCCGAGTTTAAGTGATTATTCGTAATAATTAATGAAAAATCCAGCTAATAAGTATTTTATTATTTAATGGTTTATATTTTAAATATTTTATGAGTAATAATAATAATAGTTTCATAATTTTTTTAATTCTTGTCTAATAAGCTAACCTACTAAACTAGAGATTGAGTTCAACTCACTGTAAAGTTGTTATTATTAATTTAAGTTAGTCTAAAAAATATTAATTTCAAAAGATAAAATAATTAAAATACCTCGCTAATAATCTTAAGAGGTAAAATGAACTTTTTAAGCCAAAATAACTTTTAAATTAAATTTAAAATAAATATTAATTAATATTTTAAGAACAATAATATAAATAAATTGAGTTATATATAAATTACTAAATGTTTGACTATATTTTTATTTATTTAAATAAATAAATTAATTGAGATCTGGCTCAGTTATTTAAATGAGTCAAATTTAAGTTTTATAAACTTAAAATTAATAATTTATGAATAATTTGCATGTATATACATATTTAAATAATTTTTATTTTTTAAAATTATATTTTAAATAAGTGGTTATGATTTTAAAATAATATTTTTTATAATAAAAATTTTATATTTAACCTTAAGTTACATTATGTAGATAAACTATAATTTATTGTTATTTTGTTTGAATTTTTAGTACAAAAATATTTACTAAATATTAAATAAATAATAAATTGTAAAAAAGAATATATAAACAAATCAAATTTAATTTTAAAAAATAATTAAGATAAATTTAAATTTAAAATTTGATTTATTTTAATGTATAAATTAAATTTTTATTTTTAGTTTTTAATAAGTTAGAAACTAGTTATCTATACTTACTTGCGACTCTCAGTTAAAAAACTTAAAATAACACCTTTTTTAAAAAGCCATAATGAATGTACAAATCTGATATAATTTTTACAATTTAAATAAAATTTTTATTTTAAATTTCTTATTTAAAATACACTGACAAAAAGAGTACACTAAAAAATTGATTAGTCACCGACCCTTTTTGCAATAAACATGCAGTGCATCTAGCTTGCTTTGGAAAACGAACCCCCAAGGCCCATCCATTCCATGTGATCTCTCTATTTGGGTAACACGTGTATTCCCTCCCGCACGTGATCTCACGTGATCTCTCTCTTTTTTTTTAATATTCTATTTGAACTTTTTTATTATATTTTAATGTTAATTTATTTGTTTTCATCTCTTCCTTTTACGTTGATTTCACAACTCCTATAAAAATATTATTAATCTTAAAATAGCAAGTAAATGCATCCGATTTACCACTTAAAAAATAGATAATTTAGTGCTTTAGTTATTTACTTTTTTAATTTTTTGTTTTACGTTGATCTTCTATTTTATTTGTGTCTCGTTTAATTTTAATTCACTCCTTTTATGTTTGTTTATAAATTTTTAAACAACAGTCAATAATTTTTAAATTTTTACTATCATCGTCCTTTCTTCTTCCATAACCTATTTGATAAAATTTAATTAAATATATTTAGTGAAAAATAATTTATATGATCAACGTTTGAAAATTAAAATATAAAAAATTAATGGGTTAAAATAAAAGCTTAATCGGCTCAACTCATTTTAAACTTCATCAGATGCATAAAAAAGCTTCCTTTTTATTTGTGTTTTTAAATAAAAGTTTAAGCTTCTATTATTTTTCTAATGTTCAAAGTTTAATTTGAATTATTAATATACACTTGAATAAGTTAGGTCGATCCAATTAAATTAAAGGAAAAGCGTGATGGATTGAGCGAAAAAAAAAAAGTTTATAATTAATTTAAAGGTTGAGAGCATGTTTGTTTGTATTTTTTTTTTTAAATTAAATTTAAAAAAAAAGTGTATTTTTTGGTAATTCGACCATCACTTGCACTACACATAGAATGCTTGAATCGGTGCAAACTGCAGTCAGGCTAAAAGGAAAAATAAAATGCCTTTATTTTGGTTTTTGGATTAATGGTATGTTTTAAGTTTACCGTTTAATGTTATGTATTTGCAAGAGCTCTTACTTGTGGATCTTTGTTGATATTCTACTCCAGGAGATATCTGTACTTGTCCATGGACCCAAGGTTTCAAACCTTAGTTTATGGAAACGGATTTTTCCAAGCTCTCAACTTGTTTGGGCATTTCAAAAGGATGCCTCCAGTTGATCTGCTGAGAAAAGAAAAGGGTTTCAATGGACTTGTGAATGCCCGATTTCTTAGCGTGAATGAAAATCTATTAATGAGTTATGCTACAATTTTGAGCTCCTTTTTAGAAATAGATGAAGATAAGAAGACCAGAAAAGAAAAGAAAAGAAAGAAGAAAATGCATGTGAGAAGACGAAGATTAGATTCTTTTTATATATTTTTAAGAGTCTCTTAAAAACATTTTCTTATTTTTTTTCCCTTTAACAACGTAAATTAAATAAAGCTTTAGTCTATGAAAACTTTTCATGTGTATTCAGCGAATGAATGATATTTTTGTTGATGAAAAGAAAAACAACAATGCTCTACGAAATTTGTTTGGGTCGATGCTCTACGATTAGGCTATCTAGTAATTGTTGTGTCGTTGTATTAGGATTTGGGTTTTTATTTCTTAAATTCTTATTTTTGGGGCTAAGGCAGCATTTAGGTTATTGTAACTGTGATCGATAGTGGCGACGAAGTTGGGCTCAAAAAGCCCATTTATCTGGGCTTTGAAAAGAGTTAGGTTTGGATGATAATTTTTTTTAACGAAAAAACACAATGAAAGTTTTCGGATATTACTTTTTGTATAATTGTATTTTTGTGCATACCATCTAGATGAAAGATGCATTAATCTCCTTACCTAAAGGTGCAATCTTTTGTTCATAGATAATTAGTTTTTTTTTTTAATATTACGCAGATATTATTAAATTAACAAAATAAGATAAGAATTAAAGATATATTATATATTTTTTTAAAATTCCATCAATTTTATGAATTAACAATTAAATATTTTTATTAATCATAATGAATTTTTTTACATTAAATAAATTAAAATTAAAGAGATCAGATTTTTAAAATAAAAATAGAGATTTAAATTTAAATTTATTTTTATTATTTTTATTAATACAGTGTATTAAAATTTTAAATTAAGATAAAAAGTGTATGAAATTAATATAAATTAATGAAAATTAAACATGGTCTTATAAGGGTAGACTGAATAATATCATGTATTAATAACTTTTCATTGTCCTATTAATCAACTAGTATCCTGGTTTGATTGGAGGAAAATAATAGTAAAAAAAAAAAAAGGAGAAAGGAAGAATTTTAAAATTTTATCTCGTGCAATTTATAAATTTAGACGGAAAGAAATGATAAGTGCAAGTTAAATTCGGTTTACTTATTTCAGGCTTTCCTCCGATAGTTAAGGTTTTGAATGAAATAAAAAATATTTATACCTTTTTAGATTATACAAATTGCTCTAAAATTTTAGTTTATTTCCTTATTATTATTACAAGTGGATATCAAGTCACTTTAAAAAAAGCTTAAATATTAGCTATCCTGTTTAATAATTTTTTTAATATGTTAAATTTCATGAATATACTATTTTATTCCACAATTATATTAATAAAATTCAATGTTTTAAAAAAGTCATTAAAGAAAATAATTTGATCTGTAATTAGAAATAAATTTTTCTTCTTATTATTATTATCCTCTCCTTAAAAATTAAATAAGATAATTATTTCTCCATTTTTTTTTTCATTGAATAAAAAACACTGTAACGAGCAGATCACGGGAAGTTGGCAGGGTAGTCCTTGACAGTTGCAAAGCAACGAGCCATCGCAATTGAAAGATGTAACTTAGGATTGAGACCCCACATTGGACTAAATACATAGTTCGCTCATTTTTACGAGCTTTCAATTAAGATTACGAGAAAAGGGGAAATTTTCCACGATGGCCACATCACTTCAGCAGCTATTATTTTTTCCAAGTCAATTCCCTTTTGCATCACCTCTTAAGAAACGTTTACCATCACAATAGAATAATAGAAGTGGCTTCGTGTCAAAATAGTAAATAAACAAAACCTGCTTAATACATAATATTTCCAGCCACTGGTGGCATGGTATTTTCTGTAGTTCACACCGTAACTATTGGTCGTTACCTAACACACAAATATATATATATATATATATATATATATATATATATATATATATCCCACGGAACACCGTTTTTGAACAAACAAAAATCTAGTTTTCTATACTATAATGAAGGGCTTTGTGTTGTATGCGGGTTGTCGTAGTAGAGACTAAACAAGATGCGGAGTTGAAATGGAAGAAGAGTCAGTCAAGTTAAGTGTCCTATAATTTATTGATGAATAGTGTGTTTGGATAATGGATATTATTGAACGACATTGATAACAAGACGCGTGTGTGTGACAAAGAATGCTAGCAACTTCTAAACATAAAAAAAATAAAAATAAGTAAATGAAGAATTTTAATTAAATTGTGAGGGTAAAAATAAAAAGCAACACTTTAAAAGGTGCTAGAATTTATTGAAATATGAAATAACTATTTGATCAAATAAGTTAAGTTAGTCCTATAACTTTAAAATAATTTTATTTATCTTATAAATGTTATATGTTAGTTGCTTCTTCTTTGAGTAAAAACTTATGCCAACAAAAATATTAATAAATAAGAGAAATAAAAATGTTTTTAATCACGTATTATTTTTAATTAAAAGAGCAAGAGGGAGGGGGAACGGGTAAACGATTTCAATCGTTTTATTCATCATAATCACAACGTTTGGCATTCAATTTTGCGTGCGGAACAGTTCATCTGCATTGGCCCCAGCAAAAATCTCTAGTTCTTTCTTTCTTTTTTTGATTAGTTTTGTTTTCAGTATATGCAAATAAAATAAATCCTATTTTTAAGTTCTGGAAAATCTTTTAATATATTTTTAACTTTTTAAAGTTTTTGCTTTTTAGTCCTGACTGTTATTTTATTGACTTAATTAACAAATGTTTAATTAAATTATGCCACCTATATTAACTTATGATGTATGTTAAAAAATCAGACAAACAATTAACTTAGATGGATCGTGTAAAAATAATCTTTTATATGACTCAATAATAATAATAAAATTCTTAATTTGCGCTATTTATGTTAAATAAGGGTTATATATATTGTAAATTAGCTAATTCTTATAAAAAATTTATCATAAATTAACATATTGGTATTAAATTATTCTTTATTAATGTTTTTTTTAAAATTAATTCATTGATGCAAATATGTGAGTCTGTACTAATAGTATAATATGTTACATTAACATGTAATTTTATTGAAAAAAAATATATTAGTAATACATCAAATGTTAATATAATATGTAATGACAAAAAATAGTAATTTGGTCATTTGAGTTTTTTATTTGGACTTGGTCTTTTAGGTTTATTTATTTATTTTATTCATTGGTTTTTTTTAACTTTATCTGATCTTATTCACCAATTGTGTCTGTTTTTTTATCACTAAAAATGTTTAACTTCAATAATATTTTAATCGTTTTGTTTAGTTATTTATCTCTTCAACAGTTTAGTCATTTCTTCTCTCTTGAAAAAGTCTAAGGTAAAAAATGGTTTACTCGATTTATTTAGATATTTTAATTATATTTCAACATGATATAATGAACAAGAGACGCAGTTCAAGTTTTCTTCAAAATTATCTTGAAACATTTCAATTATATCCTATAAAAATAATATACTGATTTCTATTATTTTAAGTGATAAAAAGTTTGATTTCTCTTGACAAATTATTCAATTAAAGTTTTGTAAATGAGAAAAAAAAAGGGGCATGCAGTTAAAACACATTATTTTCTTAAAGAGTTTAGTTAAATATTTCTATATTGTTTTTAATCATGAATTATCAAAATCATTAACACGTAATAATTACTCTAGAAATCACGTGTATGATATTTTTCAATTAATTGACGATATATATATACACACACATATATATATATATATATATATATATATATATTTCATATTATTAGTATATTAAAATTAAATCCTATTTTAAACAGGTACGCGTGATTCAAGTAAAAGTCATAGTTCACGTTCTAAGTCTTAAATAAATAAACAGGCCCTATTCATTATGTGAGTTAAGTTATGGTATTTTCGGAAATAATTTTGATTAAGTTGAATTTCATCGAATTAAAATAAGTTTTTTCTATTAATTCAAACAGATCTAACTTAATCGTGGGTAGCGATTAAGTTCGCAATTTTTTAATTAATATTGATTTTTCATTAAGTTCACATATTTTCTCCCCAAGTACATAATTAAATGGATCAAAATAATATTAGTTTGAAATTAAACATAAAGATAATCAAACATTTCAATCACATCCAGATAAAGTATTCAATGATGAAAAGTCATTCAATAAAAATTAAATTAAAAAATTATAGTAATCTTAAATAATTAAAATGATTTAATGAAAAAATAACGTTCAAATCACATCACTGAACTTCATATAGATGCTATTAATAAAAAATTCAAAAAATTAAAGTGTTTTATGTTTGGCTATCTTTTAAATAAATTAATGTGTGTTTAAATCAATTGTTTTGAAACCTTTTCACTTTTGATGGTATTTTGATTTTTTTTAAACATAAGCATTTTTTGTCATGGAGAATCTTGACTTAAAACACATTCATTGATATCCAAGATAGAAAAGCATCTTAAGGATGTTTGGAGTCCCTTCACATTTTATGGGACACTGTAGTCTATTTTGTCTTTATAATACCAAATGCATACGAAATAAAAAGGTGGAGAAAGTCTTAAAATTTTATCCTTGATTATTGAGAACATGCAAAGATAAAAAGCATTTAATATTTACTTAGTTATTCATAAAAAGAGTTATGATTCATTAAGCCTTGTTTATAATTTAAAGGGAAAAATAAAGTAAAAAAAATATTTTGAAGTTCGAGTGAAGAGAATGAAAGAAAGAGAGTAGAATGATTTAATACTTTTTATTCAATATTTTTTTCTTTTAAAATTAACAAATTTAATTTTCTAACAAAACTTTAAGTTTAAGCATGGAATAGAGTGAGTGACAAGCAGCTCAAGAGCGAAAGAGGAATTTTTTAAATAATAAATTGAGTGAAATTGAAAAATACGCTTAGTTATTGAAAAAAAAAATGTTATTATGATTCCATTCAGAAAAAAATTATTTTAATAACCATTACTTTTGATGAAAGCTAACTTTTACTTTTTATTTGATGCTTTTCTCTGTGAAAGAAGGAAAAATTATTTCAATAATAAAATAACATTGTTAGAAGTGACAAATAAGATATTAAGCTCACACTGGGTTTTAAAATTTAAACTTTGTTATGCTAAATAAAAAAATTAATTTAAACAAAAAACCCCTACAATTTAATCAACTTTTTATTAAAATTAATTTTTAAAATTAAATTTAAACATGCAAAAAATAAAAAAAAATAAAATATATATATATATATTTTTAATCAATAAGAGTATTCGTTATTCTTATGGGATCAACACACTTTGAGAGCTTTAACTACAGCTAAGTAAAGATGGGGTTTCACAGCATATTCCCATAAGTTACTCCTGCATATATCATTAAGCAGTTAAATGATGAGAAAGATAACGAGAGGGTGCCGTATGCATACAAATTTTAGTTTTTATGCATACAACACTGCATGTTCAATTTAAATCCCTTATTTAAAGCCAGTTTGGGTTTTGGAGTTGTTAGATCCGTGCCCAGTCACGCATATTCCCACCAAACTGCATTTATCGTTCCTGAAAGTTGAAAGACTTTTAAAGACAAACTTCTTTTCCAATCAATTAAGGTAAGAAGAATACTAGTAATAAGTATTTTAAAGACATTAATCAAACCAAATAAAGTAAAATATTTTCCAGAAATAGTGCTAATACTATGACTCATAATAAATATTCAAAAATTAGATACTCGTCGGTCAAATAAATCTAAATCAAGGTGTGAATAATCATTAGAAGACTCTGGGTATAAATCCTATTCTACTCCTACGTATACCAATAAAACACATTTATTATATTATATTTTTAATTAGATATAATATTTAAAAATATTTTATGAGTAGAAAATACATTAGATTTAAATATTTAAAAGTCAACTCTGTATATTTTGGGATTTGAAATGTTGTTGTAAAAAATGTGGTTTGTGAAAATTGAGTAATGTATGTATGGATGTGGCTTGATATGGGGTGTGTGCGCGTGTCCACCTATCAAACAACAAGTCTGCAACTACCTCCTTCCTACCTATCTACCCCCCACACTCTTTGAATGCTAGCCGCCCTTCGCCCCTTTCCTTTTTTATTTTTATAAATCTAACTCTTGCTTTCTTCATTTTCCTACAAACGCACGCAACACCCTCTTCACCCCAGTCACAATTTTTTCTCATTTCTCGTATCTCTGTAGTCTCACCATGGCCCCTTCTTTCGACACAAGTACTCAAACAGTATGCGTTATGGATGCTTCCAGCCAGTTCGGCTTCAGCCTAGTCCAGAGACTACTCCAAAGGGGCTACGCCGTCCACGCTTCCCTTCAAAAATATGGTTTTTTTCTTTTTTATTCTTTCTTTTTCGTGCCGCTCTCTTTGTTCTTTTCCTTTTATTTACATGCTTTGCTTTTGGATTCTTCCTCAGGGGAAAAAGACCTTTTCAATGGGATTTCTACTGATTCCGATAAGCTCAAGATTTTCCGATCTGATCCATTTGATTACCATAGCATAGTTGACGCACTCAGAGGCTGTTCTGGCTTGTTCTACACATTTGAACCTCCCCTTGATCAACCCGATTATGATGTAAGCGTGCCACGATATTTCTTCTATTTTTTTGCTGCCCTCTTTCTCCTACTAGTTTGGAATACAATGTTCGAAACCAGTTCTATCATCGTAAACATGGTTTAATTAATTGAAATATGTTGTAGGAGTAGTTCTTCAACATAATTATTAAAACCAATAATTATATCAATTGTTTATGCTTTCAAGCTCGCTGGATTGGTGGAACATAGCACATGGAATATCAAATTCATGATGATTTGAAAATATTCCTCTTTATACCACCTAGCGTTTCAATACAAAAGTTTGAAGAGTTAATCCGTGAACTTTATGTGGGTGAAGTAGCAGAGTTTGTTTACCCCCAGATATTGGAGTATGTGGTTGGCATAATTAGTGGTTACCCAAATTTCCCAACTTCTGGTGTGCTTTTGCGTTCGGGAAGACCATGACAGCGAAGGAAATAGTGTACTTGTAGTTTGTGCTGGTTAATTTTCCATTTCAATTAATAGTACATTCATATATGTCATAATCATTTGAGCTGGTTCATTATCAAACCATGTGCTTATTTGCCTACTCCTATATCATTACTTGTACGATCACATCAATATATTATTTGATAAAATATTAGCACTCATGATGAAAATATTGGATAGATTAACACGCAATGTGACACTAGCATAAAAATGATTCAAATTTATTAAAACAAATTGATAATATAGATTTAATTTTTGTCTCTCATAACAGTGTTCTGATTACTTTATTCTGTAGACTTGCAATCAAATGTTGTATTTTGTTATTCTATAAAGAATATTTTATTGTGTAGACTTGCATTGCCGTATCAGAAGCTTTTTGTATATGGTTTATTATAAAATAAAATGTAAATATATTTTTGTAGGACAAGGATATCTGTTGCAAAACCTGACCCAAAAATTCAATTCCATGATGTTTAATTTGTGGCTAGCATTTTCGGACAAACTTTTTGACCAAAAGCAAAAAGTTTGGTGGAGAGTTATTACAGTTAAATTTTTACCAGAGTTGACAAAAATACGTTGGAACTCTTTTTTTAAAAGATTTATACGTTATTATATTTTTATCATACGTAAACTAATTAAATAATAATATTTGATCTTTTTTTATTTTTTTAAAATAAACTGCATATCACTCTTTAATATTTGAAAATTTAATGATTAAAGTTATAGAAATTAAATTTTAATTTTTTACCACGTGCCTATAAGTGTTGAAAATTAGTGGGCAAAATTGATCACTGGTCTTGGAAACATACAGGAATACATGGCAGACGTGGAAGTAAGAGCTGCACACAACGTGCTCGAAGCTTGTGCTCAGACAGAAACAATAGATAAAGTGGTTTTCACATCCTCAGCTACCGCAGTTGTTTGGAGGGAGGATCGTAAGACCATGGAATTGGATTTAGACGAGAGACATTGGAGTGATGTCAATTTCTGTCGAAAATTCAAGGTACTGTATAATAATTAACTATACTATTATACAATTAACCATCACATTTTCAATTTTCACACCTGGGTGCGTCGCAAAATTGATAAATAAATATACATAAATGACCCGGAATTGAACATAAGTGTCACTGTTGTCCTATAGAAAACGTCCAAAATGAATAATTGATTTGGGTGTACCAACAGTTATGGCATGGGGTGTCAAAGACAATGGCAGAGAAGACAGCATGGGCCTTGGCAATGGACAGAGGAGTGAACATGGTGTCCGTAAACGCAGGCTTGTTGATGGCCCACGATCTATCAATTAAAAGTCCTTACTTGAGAGGAGCCGCTGAGATGTACGAGGATGGTGTCTTCGTGACCGTTGATTTGGACTTCTTGGTGGATGCTCACATTTGCGTGTACGAGGATGTCTCATCCTACGGTCGTTATTTGTGCTTCAACCACATCATCAACACCCACGACGACGCCGTTCAGCTCGCCCGCAAGTTGACGCCTTCTGCTTCTTCATCCTTACCTCAAAGGTCAGAGGGCGTTTTTGGTCATTTTAACTTTTGCTTACCGTTGGCAGTTGACTCTTGAAAATTGACTGAAATTTTTTTATCCACTGCAGCGATGACCATGGTAAGAGTTTTATCGAACAGAGAATAAGCAACAAGAAGTTGAACAAATTGATGGTGGATTTCGAGGCTTGACTTCGGCGGTGATATTTTGGACGGTGATAGAGCAATCACCTTGGCTGTTTTCTGCGAGAGGGTATTCGTGTGTAAAATGTTGCGAAAATATGTACCTATGCCCCATATTATTATTTATTACAAATGATTGTATTTTTAATCAAATAATAATTTCTTTATTTATTTATAAATTAGATAATGCAACATAAGTGTCTATTTTCGATTATCTTATTAGCATCGAAAATGGAACATAGTTTACGTGCCGTATGCCCCCTCCCCCCACCACACAGAAAAAAGGTAGGTAGCAGTTCAAGTCTGTGTTTGTGATAGAGTATGTCCTCGGTGGTGGCTTATGACCCACACACATGGAGTAGTTATTGTTAATAAATAATAATTATAAAAATAAAAATTAATTTAAATAAAAATGATAACAGACACTTAAATTACACGTCACAGTAATCGTATAATAGAATAATTAATGAAATCATATGGGAGCATAAATGTGCCTAAGGATTAGTTAAGTGGAGAGTGTGGAGTGGACCAACAAAAGCTTAGCTGGATTATAAAATGAGGTCGGTGGACACGGCTAGAATTAAGATAGCAAGTTATAAGAAAACTAAACCACTGGCTCCATAAATGCGATGCCGCATACTCAATAAAAACTAATAAACCTTTTCAAATTCATTCAATAACTTTTTCTCTTGAGGGCGATGAAGATATGGCATTGGGAACACTGCGCTAGTACTTCACATTGTCTTGTCCATTTTTCTAAGTACCTTATGTCCTTTCTTTGAATTAAGCTCCCTCAACCGCTCTATTGTTGATAGCCTATCCATACTGTTATTTCATGCTCTTTATTCTTTTCAAAGCTGGTTTGTGAAATGTTCCATAATATGCTTTCTTTTCCATCTTACAACTGTGATGACCATTCATGTTTTGGCTTAATTTTTTAAAAAATATAATATTCATTACACTAGTATATTTTTTTTAAGTAATGAATACTTTTTTTTTATAAAAAGCATTATTATTTAAAATATTTTTCTTCAGTTTTAAAGACTAAAGGTGACATATTTTTTTGTTATTTAATTAGTGAGAAAATTAAGTTGTTATACTTATCATCAATCAACCTATGTATATATAATTGTTTTATTTTCACTCGCGATGAAAAAAATCAACCTATGTACATGAGGCACACGTCTTGATATGAGAATATTGTGGATTGGAATTTCCCAATACATCATGTTAAATCCCGATCGATATTCTGATTTGAACGGGTTATTCTTAAAATGGTGATGGATAATAAACAGAAAACACGTAAGATTGTGCTCTTGATCTTGTGGAGGAACTTACAGATGAATGAGTTTCGGTTCTCTTTCTCAGTCATGCTTTGAAAAGAATTCGGATACGACATGCTAGAGAAACGTATTGGAAACGATTCTCTTGACTATTTTTCTCTTCCGGTTCTTCCCCCCTCAAACATAACCAGTCTACATGAGTTGAATGACTTGAATGATTTGCCCATTAATTTCCAAAATTGATTTCATGCAATTATATTATGATAGATTCAGATAGAAAAACGACTAGATCAGGAAAACATAAAGAGTGAGAATAAGAATAAACTTTTAAAACTTAACAGTAGCAATTTCCTTGGCTACGAAGGGTTTCCAAACATCAACCTATCATCATTTAATATTTCAATTCCAGAGTGGCTATCGCACCTTTAGGGGTTGCCCAAAATGAGTTGTTTATACATGGTAATTGTTAGCTATGTCATAGAATTTGATAATTCATTAAATATCATCAATAAACAATAAATGCTTGACAACTCAAGTTATTTCTAACTCTGCCTTATAGAAAAATGAATACAGGATATACCAAAATAATGAACTCTTGCTTCTTTGGCTCCATCATTAAAAGTTGAAAGTTAAGATATCCAAATATTGGAGTAGGACGCGTGGGCATCCGGTAATAAAATATATTTTCTCTTTTTTAATTTTAAAAAATCAATAATACTACATTTCTTTGGCTTTTTTATTTAAATAATACTTATTTAAAAATAAATTCTTAAAATAAGATTTATTCTAAACTATTTCCTTGTCTGGGGCTTTTTTTTTGCCAAATCAGCAGCAGTATCGCACATGCATAGACGATAGTAAATTTTTATTATTATTTTAATAGAGCATCGTTCCAATATTACCGATACTATACCAAAAATTGACATCTGTCAAAATCGCATGAGTATCGGACAAAATGAAACGATAACATATTTTTATTATTATTTTAATATATTATCGTCGTCCAGCATTCGAAATTCATGTTTTTTTAATCAATTTTAATATTATCGTTGCAGATTAACCGATACTCATTTTTTATTATTATTTTAATATTTCACCAAAAAATAGGAAATATGACTTCTTAGAGCGGTTCCTTATAAACCGCTCTCATAACTCTACTTTAGAGAGCGGTTCATTAGGAACCGCTCTCATAACTCTACTTTAGAGAGCGGTTCATTAGGAACCGCTCTCATAACTCTATTTCAGAGAGGGGTTCATAAGGAACCGTTCTCAAAAGTCATGTTTTTTTATTGGAAACAATCAGTTAAGTAAATTATTATAGACGATAAAATTATCTTTTTAAGTATTTATTATAATTGAATTAATCAGATTCAAACTTTAAGTTGTATAGATTCTAATAATCTATTTTTTTTTACAATATCATTTGTTTATTTTTATTTAAATTTAATTTTGTTTAATTTTAAAATTTAAATACACAACATCAAATTAAAAATTATTTTAATCTTAATTTAAAATTAATTTTTAAAGTTTGAAATTTCACACAATATTACAATATAACTTTTGTAATTTATTTTAATTTTAAATTATTCATTGAATATATATATATATATATATATATATATATATATATATATATTAAACTTGCAACAGCTGATTTATATGATAAGATATTTGGTATTTTGAATTAGCTTGTATTATATTTATTATATATGATAATATGTTCTAATTTTGTAGATAATTGGATGATACTGAATTTGAATTTACAATTATACCAATTAGACGAAACAACAAAATTAATACGATTGAATCAAATAACAAAAAAAATACTTGTTGTCTAACCTCAAAAAAGAACCTATGCAGCTTAACAAAAAAAAAATTCATAAAAATACTCTCATTTTGTAAGTTCTAAATTATTTATAAAAGTGTGTATCACCATATTTTTAAGTTAGCAACACAATATTTGCTACAAATTTTTTTCATGTAAAATAGTTTCATTTTGAAAAAAAGAAGAAGATAAATTTGTCGTCCATAATAATTTACTTCATTGATTGTTTCTAATAAAAAAACATGACTTTTGAGAGCGGTTCCTTATGAACTGCTCTCTGAAATAGAGTTATGAGAGCGGTTCATAAGGAACCGCTCTAAGAAGTCATATTTCCTATTTTTTTGGCAAAATATTAAAATAATAATAAAAAATGAGTATCGGTTAATCTGCAACGATAGTATTAAAATTGATTAAAAAAACATGAATTTCGAATGCTGGACGACGATAATATATTAAAATAATAATAAAAATATGTTATCGTTTCATTTTATCCGATACTCATGCGATTTTGACAGGTGTCAATTTTTGGTGTAGTATCGGTAATATTGGAACGATACTCTATTAAAATAATAATAAAAATTTACTATCGTCTATGCATGTGCGATACTGCTGTTGATTTGGCAAAAAAAAGCCCCAGACAAGGAAATAGTTTAGAATAAATCTTATTTTAAGAATTTGTTTTTAAATAAGTATTATTTAAATAAAAAAGCCCATTTCTTTTAACTGTTTTTCAAAAATATTTTAATTGATTTATTATTTTAAAATTAAAAAATAACATTAATTAATTTTTAACTATACTCTTACCTTGAAAGAAATAACAGTAATTTTTATTTTTAATTAATAAAAAAGATTATTATGAAAAAAATAGATAAATTAATAAATTCAAAATATATTTGAAAATTCAAAATAATTATGGCATATTAATTATACAGTTTTGATTTGTTGACTAAAACTTTTAAACAGCAGATAAAAATGTTTCGAGAAAGGAATTTATTATCAGTATTTGCAAACAAAATTTGAGTGTAGAACTTGAATTCAAACAGTCTGATAAGATATATGGATTAAGAAAACAAATTCTTCCTTTTCTTTTAACTTGGCTTATTTTGAAGTTAGGCTGACTCAAGTTAATTAGGTCAAATATTCCATCCATTTGTTTATTTTATAGATTTTCATTTATAAGTTTGTTATTGTTATTTATTTAAAAAATTAAAGCACTGTTGATAAATAGGTTAATTCTCTATTTTTTGGTCGAGAATTAAATATCTTAAAATCTTAATTCCTAATAATTTATTTTTTAGAAATAATTTTATAATATATTTTAAAAAAATTATAGGTCTGTTTATGTTTTTTCTTCTAATCTACGGCTCATCGACCTTAAGATATGTATTGGGTTGGCAAAAAATATGTTTGGCCTATACTATGTTGTTTAATTTGCCTACCCATACGACTACACCTAAAGTGGTCCGGTCACACGCTATATTTGATGGTGACATGTGTGGTACATAAAACACTTGAAATAGTGGCATATTGATTAGGGATGAAAATGTGTCGAGATAGTCTAGGTTTTATAAAATTTGAGATTAATTGTTAAAAACAACTTAATATAAATATTTAATATTTCTTGTATTATTTTGATGCAATGAAAGACATAAATTTTGTGATGAGAATTATTTTTATCTTTCTACAAGTATGTATATTTTATTTAGAATATAAAAAACTGATTAAGAAAATATTGACAAGTTATAATTAAAAACATTTAGTGTAAAAAAATATATATGTAAATTTTTTAGTTAAATTAAGAAGTCTGTAGTTTTAAAATTGAGTCTCATCCCTTACATATTTGATATTGTAATCTTTTTATTTTTATTTAATTTGTTTTTTACTTTCATCTAAACAAATGTTTAAGATTAATATTATTTTTAAATTTATTTTATTTTATTAATATAGATTGATTTTTAAGGTATGATTTAACCTTTTTTAAAGGTTAATGGATTAAATACATTTTAACTCTGTAAAATTGTTAAAGTTTAATTTTAGTCCAATTAAATTTTATTATTATTTTTATAAACATATAAAAGTTACGTGCTTTTAGTTTTTTTACGATTCTACTTTTAGTATATATAAAGACTGAAAGTAAATAAATTTTAATTAAAAAAATTAATTTTATAACTTTATAAGACTACAAATATAGTTAACTTAAATTTAATCTATCTTAAAAGCTTAGTAAAAAACTTATGTTGTAGTAATTAAGCTTTTAAATAAACAACAAAAAGTTAAATGTAAATAGATTTATGCCTGTAAACTTATCTATAGGTCATTTGATTTTCTCCAGTTTTCTAAATAGATGCTCAGAAGATATATAATTTCAAAATCTTATAGTAAAAGTTTAATATATCATTATATTAAAATAAGGTAGTTTATTAAATTTAAACAGTTTTTTAAATGGACTATAATCTGACATCTTAACTAACTGGATTTTAAAAATTTAACCTAATTTATTTAGTTAATTAATCTAAGGTTTATCCCTTGTCAAAAGACGCAGAGTCGTTGGACTAGGGTTTACTTTCTTCCACAAAGCCATCTTCAGTTCTTCACTCCGTCAGATAAATTGACGGCTTCCTTAAAGTGTATTTGAAAAAAGTAATAGATAAGAAAATTGAAAGTTATAAAAGTGGTTAGAAGTTGAAAAGTTAAATGAAAGTTGATAAAGATAATTGATTGAATTGAACGTATTGAAAAAAAAAAAGGGTTATTCAACTAATTGATAAATATTAAATGATAAAATAATTAACACATTTAATTATTAAACTATAAATTAGAATTTGATAATTATATATTAAAATTTTACAATTCTGGATAAAAAATTTGATATTTTATTCTTATTCATAAATACTTTTATTAAATTAAATGAGATAATACAAATAAATTTACATTCTTGTTTTAGAAATTTTATATTATAAAATTTGTTAAATATTTTATTATAAAATTTGTTAAATATTTTATTATTATTTTCTAAAGTAAAGAATGCTATGCTATTTATTCAATTTTTTTATTCTTAACATTTTAACAAAACACATATTAAAATTTATTTAAATAAACTTCTGTTTCTTCAATGAAAGTTAATTTTAAATTTTAGATTTAATAATTTTTTTTGCATGTGAAGATACTCGGAATATTGAACGCAATAAAAAATATTAAATTTGTAAAATTTAATTATTAATAATAATTATATTATTTTTAAAAATTTATTTAAATTGAAAAATAATCATAAAATATATTGTTAATATTTTTATTAATTAATTTAATTTAACATATTTGTATAATTCATAAAAAAATTATTTTTTCATGGCTAACATTATCAATATAAAGAGTAAATTTTTTTTATTCTTGTTGAAAAAAAGATATATAATAATATGTGAAAGAATACTTATTATTATAATAAAATTATATATGTAAAATCATTTTGTACCATTTAAATATTTTATTATTTTTGAAAATGATTAAAGATCTGTTTGGAATTGTGCATTATGATTGTTTTGAGTTAAAAGATTTAATATGTATATGCAACTTCGTGTCGCTAAAATTGTTTTAAAAAATTGTAAATGTATGAAAACAATAACCAGTATATGTATAAAAAAGAAAAATTATATATAATTATTTTTGGTAAAAGAAAAAAATACATTTTAATAAAATAAAAGTTGATTAAAGAAAAAATAGCTGCAATAGAAGGTGAATTTAGAAGGTGCATCTATCTATGTACCAAACGATAAGGAGGTGCACATTGCAAGTTGCAACAGAAAGAAAATAAAAAAGTTGCATAGTGCAGGCTAAATAAGCTGGCACTATCATTGGGAGATCCATCGATTGAACCCAAATAAATAAAGTATCCCTATTTCGATGTCATATCTCTCCTTTCTACTCGAACCTCCCCATCGTTGCTTCAAAAGTTTCCCTTACTGTGTTGTCATTGGCATAACAATGGCTTTCTTCTTCTTGCACAACAATGGAGGGACTAGCAAACAAGAAAAATACTCGGCGTGTATTTGTTTTTGCCTCTATCGATCACCTTCTGAATGTACGTATATTCAACACTGCAAAGTAGCTTATAGACACGTTTTAGACATTCAAAACATGTAACCAGACACGTGCTTAGTTTGAGAAGGAGTTATTGAGATATCAAATTCTAGGTTGTTTTGTTGGCAATAAATTTTAAACTATACAACGAAAAGCATTTAATTTTTAAATTATTTAAAATATTTTAGATAATTATGCAACTCAAACTTGTAACTCATTCTCTTTTCCTCACTCATGGATTGAGCCAAGAATGAAAATCTAATATAATATCAAAACGTAGATCTAATAAAGAAAATTTAAAACTCAAGTTAAAAGAATAGTCAAACAAAAAAAAATCTATGGCATGAAAAAAAGTACAATTAAACAAAAGTCATTTACTTTGATTGTATTTTTATTTGAATTCATTTAAAAATAATAGTAAATTTAAAGTAGTTTTTTTGTATTTTAATTTTAAATTGAATTAATTATTTTAATTTTTTTTAATTTTTGAGATAATGTTTTAATTGTTCAGTTAAATAAATAAATGAAATGTAATTAATTAGAGTAGAGTTATTAGTAAAAAGTGCTACTCGATATACTTTAATTTAGAGTAGACTGTTTTAGTTGATATTGGTATCATAGAATATTTAAAGAAAAATATAATTTGAGGTCGTATAAGATATTGTATCGGTATAGCACACAATACATTTAGGTTAGGGTTTATTTGAGTGTAGAATAGAAAAAAGTATAAATTTATTATGTCTTGCAGTTTGATTAACTTTTGAATATAAAAAATAAAAAATAAACTAGATTGCATAAAATTTTTATTTTTAGTTATTTAGCTAACTTTTTTTAGTTTAGAATATTTTTGGATTGATTTAGTGATTCAAATTTTTTTTAATAACTACAGTTTTTATACTTCTACAATAAAAATGATTGATGATGTCATTACTAAAATATATGCATTTTAGGGTGTTTTCAAAATATATACAAAAGATATGTAGTTTGGGTATGATTTTTTTTAGAGTCTATGGGTGATTATAATAGGTTTCACAAGGGAAGGGAGACAGGGGACAAGGGAATAAAAAATATATATAATGTGGAGGATTATACCTGAGTGGTCATAATTTATCGCTGAGAACCAAACAACGTGAGTTTTTTTTTTTTTTTTTTTTTGCGGACCATCTGAGCCAACTTAATGGGACAACTACTGTATATATATTTTTTCTAACGCGCCAGATTGTCCTAATCAAACTAAGCAAAAGATTTGGACCACACACACAGTGTCCAATGAACTTAATTAGAAGAGTATAGTGCAGGTATCTACTCCCGCAGATTCACTCTTTTTTTGGCTTACATAATTCTCATTTAACTTATTTTTTGCTCAACTAATTATTTCTTGATTTAGGCATGGTTACATCGAATTTTTTTATGACATAATTGATATGCAATTTAAGAGCTTAATATACACACAATGGTCTACACCTTCACTGATTCAGATTCATCGTAGCCAGTGTTCGGACACAAGCCCTCGCCCTTCTCATAAGGACTCGTTCAATACCAATGACCCCGGAACCAAGCAAGGGCTAAACTAAACCAACTTTCCACATCACCACCCCATAATAATAATAGCCCAACATCTATTCTGAGAAACCCAGCTTTAAAAAATAAAAAAAAGAAGAAATTTGCGACACTACGTACACCACTTTCCTCTGCATGATTTTTCCTCTGCATGATTTTCCCCCTACACCTTGCTTCTGCTTAAACTTCTCTCATCCATGCAAAGAACCAACCATGTCTTTGACAAAAGCAGAAAATTCTGAAACCTCATCACCGCCACAACAAGCACTAGTACCACCCACATCATACACTTCCCCACCAGCGCTAATAGCATGTACACTCGCTGTTGTTCTCGTTTGCTTCATAGGTTTCACCATTGTCTACTTCTGCAGATGTTGTTTTGTGAACATGGTAAACGCTTGGGCCTTTCAACGCTCAGCTTCAGGAACCCTTATTCGTCTTTCTCCCAATGCTGCTTCTCCTTACACAGGCCTTGACCCTTCTCTTCTTCAAACATTCCCCACCTTCCTCTATGCCACAGTGAAGAATCTTCGCAAGGAAAAGAAGTATTCCCTTGAATGTGCCATTTGCTTGGTCGAGTTCGAAGATGATAGCATGCTACGACTCTTAACCATTTGTTACCATGTTTTTCATCAAGAATGCATCGACCTTTGGCTTCGATCCAACAAGACATGCCCCGTTTGTCGCACGGATCTTGATTCACCGACCGAAGAAACGCAAAAACCCGTGGAACAAGTTGAGGAGAATCTTAACGTGGAAGAAGAGAGAAGGAATCACGTGTGCGCTGGTGTAAAAGAAGGCGATGGAGATGAGAGACGTCATGATGATGCTAATGTGGCAGTTTCGGTGAGTGGGAGCATGCAACAACGTGGGGAAGAGAAGTTTGTAAGGTCACACACGACTGGGCATTCTATAGTTATGATTAGAGAAGATGAAGATAGAGATAATGATGATAAATATACGTTGAGATTGCCGGAAAATGTAGAGTTGAAAATTGAAAGGAGAGGGCACAACTACTCCAAGAGTTGTTCTAATCATAAGGATATGGCAAAGCTTGCTGCGCCTTGTAATAGTGATTCTGGTCATGTTCAAATTCTATTTGGATGCTCTTCCTGTAGTGGTAATGAAAATGTTTAATTAACTATATTCTTCATTCTCTGTTGTGGTTGCTTTTCCTTCTAATCTTTTTTCTGTTTGAAATCTCGTATGGGCTGAAAGATAGAAGTAAATTTATTCTCAGTAGTTCGTACATAATTAGATACCATAGATTTAATTAGTTTCTAAAAGTTGGTATTAGAAGTGTTATAAATGGACTTCGAAATGGTTATCGGCACTGGAATTGATATGACTTGAAAGGTTTTCTTTGTTTTTTTATATATGGGCGCCAAAGGTCAAAGGAGACAACAAACTCTGAAACTAATTCCCATAGCTCAGCTATTAGGGAGGAAACTATTTTGGTCGAAACAATGAGACGAATCCAAACTCCATATAAGGACAACACCACAGGATGTACTAATATAAAAGTTTTTGTCCGAAAATTATTATTATTATTATTATTATTATTATTATTTTGGGTGAGTATGAAAAACTGTTGTAAATGCCTAATAACCAATGGTCAGAGGGAGGGGAAAACACAAAATAAAAAGTACGAAGTAACAGAAGTGTCATTGGACTTTTCTTTAAAATATTTTTACTATTAACATGATTATAAAAGAGAAAAAAAATATTTTACACTTCTAATAGACACTTAATTAAGAGTGTAATTTATAACTGATACAGTGAAATCTTTTTGTATTTTCACTTAAATTGCTTTAAAAGATCAATGCATCTATGATTTAGCAATTTCATCTCCATGAACATGTAAGGTGGGGCCAGGCATTTCAACCAATCTCATACAATCAGGATCGCCATCCAACACAGTGCATGGGTTGGATTTATTATGAAAAAACGCAATGACATTTCAGCCCCGGCCCACATGCATGATCAACCCATTATCCATGATACGTACATGATCATATGGGGGAACACCACTAATATAATTGATTATCCTTAAGAAGGTAAGCTCCAAATTCATTGAAATCCCAATTTCCTGCTTCAGTAATCGAACCCGCAACCTTCGTATGTAATTTTTCTTCCCGGTGATTTATTGACCCCTTGTCTTTTTTGGTTCTGTTTTGGTTCTTTGGTATATATCTTTAAGGTATACTCTTCATGGCCAGAGGGTGAACTAGTAACATTAATTTTAATTTCAATATCACAGCATGCATTTCAAACAATCTGTGGAAACAAAGATTGTGTTATTTCCAGCATGCATTTCAAACATCCCGTCTCATAAACTATTAAGCTTTTTACTAGGCTACTCAATGCTCATCTATCTGTTTTGAAGCTTGAAAGTTAATCCAACTTTGATTCTTCTACGTAACATCTTAAGAGAATAAGCTTTTAGTCCATGTATATATCGATCATGCCAATCCCCCATCAATGTGTAAGCCTGGAATTTTTTATGCAATGCAGATGGAGTAACAATGTCATATGTTTATTTTGCAAAAACAATTTGCTTGGCATTTGAGGGAAATTTATCTTCATACCGAACAGCAAGATTAAATTATTTCTTTACAACTCCAGTAGTAGGTAAGAAAAACGCAAGGCTAACAAACAAGCATTTAATACTGCTATTTAAATAATCTGCTCCAAATAACCAAAAGAGTAAATGAAAAAAGATATTTAAAATAATCTCTTCCAAATTCTTAGTCCATGACCTACTTATGAAACCCAGTATATTTTTCTTCTTAAAGGCATCTGTGGGTGAAATGTGAATGTGGTAGACGTTTAAATTGGTTTTCTTTAATTAATTCTTGTCTGCTGAAAATACCAATACAAAACGTGTATTAGTTAGTTATGTTGTTTGGGTCCAAAATAGAGAGAATGAAGCTCCAATGTCATTGAACAGCACCGTCAAACTCTTTAACATATTGCGTATCAAAGAATGGCCACAATAAGGGTATTACTAAGATATTTTAAAAGATCTTGTTTGGTCAGAGTGAGAGCTTTCTTTCACTCCTGGTAGCTGGGAATTGGACAATGGGTTCAAAAATAACCATCATGATTTTGTCTCGTTCTATTAAAAAGTGTTGATAACGTGTGATGCAACGATCCATAGACTTTGCCCTACAAAAATCATTTTTCCATTTTCAAATATGCTGCCAAAAATAAACGTCAGTGTAATTATAATTATTTTTTATTAATAAAAAATGAGTTACGAGTTCTTTTCTTTTTTTTGCTCACAAATTGAGCTGGAAGTTTTGCAAGAGATAGATAACCTGTCCCACAAGCTCCACATGTAGAAATAGGACATTGTCCAACCAAGGTTCATAATTCGTTGAATATGTGAATTTGAAATCCAGTGACAGAGGATGAACATAGATAATCAAAGTCTTTTCATATCATATGACATGTTTGAAAGGGTCATTTACTCAATAAAGTGTAAGATTTTATATCAAATCGCCGCTTTATCAACGCACATATTTCAGTAGAGCAACAATGTAAATGGTTCAATGGAATGTGAATATTCAACCCCAGGCTCAATTACTGTCACAACCGGACACAATTATTTGGATAAAGAGAATTGTACACACGACCCCCCAAAAAAAGAGAGTTGTACAATTTTTTGAAGTGCTGTGATGAAAAAAATAGATATAAAAATTAAAATTCTAATTACCAAAGCTTACAGATCCTTCTAATCCGCTAATAATGGAATTCAAATTCAGTATAATTAAAAAAAAGGTGCTGTTGAATGTTGATACAGTTAAATATAAAATATCGATACTTTATAATTTATACAAATTATATATAAGTTAAAACGTAAGTATAGTACTTTACATTCTACAAAACAAATAGTAACTTTTTTACCTGCATTGAAGTTTAAATCCTAATTCCTAATTATTGAGAGGGCTACAGTCCTTGATAGCAATTCTGTCACCACTGATTTGACACCATATGTGTGCATCAAAAATCAGTACAACAACATACACAGTTATGGTCCAGTAATTGCTAACTGGGTACTACCTTAGCTGAAGCAAATAATGAAAACGATAAATATGGTTTGCACAATCATAAAGCATATTACTAAACGTTTATAAAAATATCAATACAAAAGGTTAACATTACATACAGGCAGTGTACAAGCTTGGGCACACAAATAGTATTAGACCTTTTAATTGTACGTATGAACCATTGATCCGTTTGGTTACAGAATTGATAAATTAAGGAAATATTTAATGATTATAATTGCATTTGAGTGGAGTAATCACGTGAAAGTATTGTCATAAAGAAAGTGTGTGTAATCCATGACAGGGTGAAGTTTGATGCAGAGTTTAGAGCAGAGATACATACAAAGAAAGGAGTTTGAGTTGCTCATAAAGCGTTTCCTGTTATTAACACAAAGGAAACATAGCATTTAATCTTTACTGACATGTTAACTCACTAATCAAAATAAAAACCCAAAAAAAATATACATGAAAAGTTCTGTTCTTCGGCTACTACTGATATCACACTGGTTAATAAACCATATAAAAATTCAATCATATTTAATATAAGATCTTCAACTAAAATTTGGTCAACCTCTTCATCTTCATTGCCATAAGAAAAAGGATAAAAATTTAAGGTACTTCTTAGACAGGCAAAATCCTTCTTCATTGCCATAAGAAAGAGGATAAAAATTTAAGGTACTTCTTAGACAGGCAAAATCCCATGCCTTCCTCTACCATTTCCGCTAAGGGAGAATCTTCCACTGGAAAATGATCTCTTCATAGCAATTGGACTCAAAACACAATGCAACACCCGTCTTTTATAGCTAGACTTACTACTTTCACCTCTTGATCCCTTTGATGTACCAACCCCAGTTGAGGATCCTTCTTGTTCATGATTCATATGCAAAACATCAGAAACTGACAGAACATTTTGAAACGAATGATCCATAGAAACTGACCTTCTAACAGAATCATAGTCGTCATCTCTGATCTCAATTATGCTATTTCTCCCACGCAAATTTCCTAGATCACTTAAAGCACGCAATGCAAATGCAGTCTTTGGAACTGCTCTACCGGGTGCAATTTCTTCTTCCACAGCATCTAATTCTCTTGCATCAGCTATGTTTTCATCTGCATGTTGGTTTTCTGAAGAAGTTTCATTCCTTGAAGGGAGTTCCATTAGTGTGGCTGGCACATGAAGTGTTGCATTTGTAGCATTAAAGGTGAATATGCTAGCACGACATAGAGGGCAACTAGAGTGAGATTTGAGCCACGTGTCAATGCAAGGAAGATGAAAAGCATGGCTGCACTTTGGCAAGAGTCTAACACTTTCATCATCTTGAAACTCACTGAGACAAACAGGGCAATCTGTCACTTCAACCAGCCCATCACCTTTCTTGTACTTGCAAACAGTTATGGACTTAATCAAAGCCTCATCTAAGCCAATGGTTGAAGCTTGCCATGGTTCATGGAGTGAGGGATTGTGATCCTCTTCAAATTCAACATTTACTTCAAGGTTTTCGCTTTGTGAAAACTCCCTGCTCCCACAGTACTTGGATATTATGGTATAGTAACTCACAAGGAGAAAAGCGCTTGCCAAGACTCCAATGACTGCAATGACTAGAGGGGATAAATTTGGACTCGAATCATCATAAGGGAATTCAAAGGGAGGAGGAGGAGGAGAATAGATTGCATAACACCACTGTGGACAATACAGGCTACAAAATCCTTGAGAACAATCTTTGTTGTTCATGTATGGAACCCAACTTCTTGGGTTGCCTAGAGATGCCATGGTGCAAGAAACTTAGGATGTAGGCGCAATAATATATAGTACTAACACATGAACAATTTTATAAACAAATATGGTTTCTATTTTCTCATTCTATGGCAAGTGAATTTTTACGTAATAGAAATAGGCTCTGACTAATAAAAAATTACCATCTATAACAGAAGAATTGAACTTTCAGAAAAACGTAGAAACAAGCAGAAAATTTACAAAACCATAGTTGGAATTGGAGCTTCTGCTGCATGCAAGCATACAGGAATTTGAGAAGCTTTATATCATAACAATGATGAGTAACAAGCAAGCAAGAAAGGGTGACCGTCTTAGAGATTATCGGTGCAAGAGAAAGGGCAAGAAGACAGAGAGACTTGCTAGAACATAAGTTTCTATCAATGGTAAAGATAGCATGGAAAAGGGGCCAAATGGCTTAGATGGAAAGCAGGGCAAAGACAAGGAAAATGGGGTGCTGATGAGCGTACTTTAACTTTTTCTTTTTCTTGTGGATGGCTTTCTTTTCCTTCTTGTTTATCTTTCTTGGTTACCATGATTTGTTGACTAAGGAGGTGGAGGTGATCTGGTGATGTTGGTTGAGAATTTATAAAATAGGAATGCTTTTTCTTTTTTTATCTTTTAGTTATTTTAACTTGTTCACTATTCAAGTAGCAGGACGATTTAGTCCTTGTAAAGTGACATAAAAATTAGCTCAAGAACTTCATTAATGTGTGCCTACCTATGTGTGTCGTAAGCTAGCTGTATCTGACACACAGAAGTGGATATATGTTGGAAATTTCAGGCTTTTTTGCTTTCAATGTCACCTATACCAGGTTAGTGAGTGTGTATCACTATGATGTTATTGCCTATTGGCAACAAAAAATTATCCTAATAACTTGTGTCATGTAGAGACATAACAAAATTCTTTAGTATTGAGTATTGACAAAAAAGGGTCCAACAATCAGAGTAGCAGCGATGTGTTGGAACACTATCACTTCTGTTGTTTAAATATTGTGCTCACTCAGTTCTTTCCTCTATGCATCATATCCCCTTTGTGGGACTTAAACATGTGACCATTCTATTCTACTTTGCATATATTCTCCCCATGATCCCAACAGTAAGTATCTTTCTCCCTGCAACTTAAGAGGTCAAGTGTGGTCCTTTGTACAGAAATATAACCTATCATATGTTTATATTTTATCTTAGCATATTCCAATAATTAAACTTAACTCAATAATGGGAACTATAGTCCTTTAAAATTATAAGGTAATCATAAATTAAATCCCAAGTTACACACAAGCATAATCTTAATTCATATGATAACGTAAATTATTTTGCTAGTCAACTTGATTATGAGAATATATTCGTGAGGGAATAAAGGTGCCTTAGAAAAAAACGAAGTTTGTGTTTTAAAGCAAGTTACAGTCAAATATAGTTGTCACTTTTCACCCAACACCTAACTAACCATTTGCTCTCCCCTTGGGCTATTCAGCTTCTCTTCCTGGACGTACGGGCTTCTTTCTTCAAGAAGGCACTCAATTTTGTTATAAGAAAATGTTTGATATATTACTATAAATATGTTTTAGAAATATATGTATATATAAATAAAACTAAATAAGTAATATAAATAGTGATATACTCTATCAATTTATACTCATTCAAATAACATAAATGTTATTAACTTAACTATAATTATATTAAATACACAAAAGGACAATTTTGTTATCGTCAGTCGATTTATCTGATAAAGAAAATTATTTTTAATAAAAAATGTATAATCTAAATAAAAAATAAATAAATAACTATTGTTATATTTGTGCTGAGCTACAAAATTCTGAATCAAATAACACCCTTGTAACTAAAAAAAATAAATAAATCAAATAACGCCCTAGGTTTGCATACCTAGTCAGCAAATAGATGTGAACTTATTTTATTTCTCTTCCCTTGTAATGGACTTCAAAATATTCAAGATTCATTAACATCAAGTGGTTCAGATCGCGTAGGACTTGTCCAAACACCCAGATGAAGATTATGCTTTTATTAGGATAAATGATATATATTATGATAAGTGGAAGAATATTTCGTAAGATAATGAAAATTAATATAAATATAGATGTTTGACATGCTTTTGATCCATCTACCTTAGTTTAAAAATGAATGAAGTTTGTTCTCTAAGCTTCTCCCAATAAACAATTGTGGACTCTCCAAGAAAAACATGGGTTGCTAAATTATCAGTCAGTTCACCGTCCAACTTTCTACATGACCCAAACCTACATTGTGGGATACGTTTAAGAAAGGTGAAGAAGAAAAAGATTAAAGCAAGAAAATTTTGAATTTCCTTTTAGGAGTGTTTTTTTGTCTTTTTATTCTTCTTTCAACTAAACAAGAAAAATATTAATCCATATTTTCTTTCTTTTTAATTTTTTTCTTCTAACTAAACAGACTATTATGACGCATTGAAAAATTTTCTTTGTTAATATTAATTTTTGGAATAATTTTAAATATATAAAATAAAATTTTATTTTTTTAATATAAACAATTATTTTAAAATAGAATCATACCGTTTGTAGTGCTTAAAATAAAAATACTCATTTTCTAATGTTTTTTTCCTGCTGAGTGAAATTGCTGAAATTATTCACTTTGAATAATGTGCCGTCACAATGCCTAACTAGGGCTCGGGTCCTTTTTGAACTTGTGCAGAGACATAATGATATGCACAAAAATCAAGATATCCTTTTGAGTCTTTTAACAACAGCAAGACTAAAGAGGAGAGGACCCTCGTTTTTTAACCTTCAACACAAAATCGCTTTTGATTTTTTTTTCTGACGTCACTGAGTCTCTTTTTCCTTCATTTTTTTCTGGATAATTTTAATTTTCGTATTCATAAAGAATAAACAGAACCAGTAAAGTGTGAATTTTTAAAGTAACTGTAAAATATTTTTTTTAACACGTGACAAGAAATGTATTATATTTTACGATATTTTATTTTTTAATAAATGTATAGTATATTACTTGTCTTTAGATATACTTTAACAAAAAACTAGTTGTCAACTTATATATGAATTTACTCACGGAAGTTTTAATTTGGTTTCATATAACTTTCAAAAAAGAATCTAATACAATTAATATTATCAATTTTCAAATTTGGTAAAAAGGAAACTGAAAAACAGAGTTCAAGTGTTGAACATGGGAGACACAGCAGATAACATCATCATAGTCAAATTATATTCCTCCTTGAATTTCGCTTTCTGGGGTTTAAGGTGTGGAAATCTTTGCATGGACACTATACACTGTTAAGTATGCGTGAAATTCAAGTATTCCCACACGAGTTCCACATATATTTGCGAATTAATTTTTTTTGAGTAAAACTCATACACAAACGAATTATCTATTTTCTTTTTTTGAAAAAGAAAAAAACTTAATTACTTTAAAAAACTAACCCGTAATACGAAGATTGTCTAATTATTATATCGAGTATTTTAATCATATATCCAACTAGTGTGAAATATCATATCACTTACATTCATGTTAGTATTGACTTTGGTTTGTTAAACCGTAGATAGTTTGGATGCAGGTCACGATAAGCTTACACAAAGTATTTTGTTTCCTTTGCTAGTGATTCATGCATTTTTTATGCTTGATATGTGCAATCCCTGTATCGCAGTGAAGTGGCCGTGGGAGCTAGAACCTCGATATAGGCAAGAAATTCCAAGGGTATATTCAGACATTGGAATAATAGCATACAAGATGGAGATCTATGGAATATGGATCCAAGATAATGAATTGCACTTATTAGTCTCGATGTACATGGTTTTACAGTTTAATTAATTCACAAGATCTTATAGTTTTATCATACCATAAGTACAAAGTTTAAAATGGGAGTGGAAAAAAAAATTCCAGAGATGAAATTTATAGGAAAAATTATGTTAAGTTTATTAAATTGTCACCTACATTTTAAAGGTATAGTAAACTTGACTTCAGTGAAGAAGATTGTGCATGCAAAAACTCATCCATCATAGTTCTGTATACACACTAAAATTCCAGCTTTAGAGGTTTCCTCTCAATCCACGTACCACGACCAAAGATCAGTAAATGAATAATTAGGATTTATGATTATTCCAGTTGAGCGTCATCATGACCTTGGTCTTCATCTTCATCACTTTCAGCTTCTTCAATTTGATCTTCAGAACCTTGGTCTTCATCTTTTTCACTTCCAGCTTCTTCAACTTTCTTTTCACTAAATTTTAGACGTAATGGTCGTCCCATTAAGTCCTGCAAAAGGATAGGCAAAAGATAAATAATTACCCTTCAGCAGGAACTAAAATTATGCACTAACTTTGTCTACACAATACAGTTGAAGTTAGTGACTATAGACAGACAAGGAAGAGGAAACAGCCATATAGTACAATGGACATAATTTAGGTTGTAAGTAACCAAACATGGAAGAGCTAAATAAGATAAGCGGTCTCACCCGAAAACCAACAACCAGAGTGCTCCTTCTAATTCATGACATGAAATTCAGGCAATTCTACAGCTTTTATTTTATAGAACTTATAAACAGCTGCAAGGGTTTAATAACTAAATCACTGTTCATTCGCCTAGGCATATATATGAATTCTTTTTTTTTTGGTTGACATACACGAGTTGTCATTAGTTGTCTCTGTTAGTCATGTTATTCCACATGATGAATTGTTCTGGTTGGCAGCGCTACATACATTAACCCAACCAAAAGGTTAAATGTGATGTAGCATTTTCGAAGGCACCTACATACTTGAACCTGACAATGATTCAAACATCGCCAAGTTTAAAACAGAAGCACCGTTAGGAATCGCAACCAGAATCCAACACTTGGCTGTTGGCAAGTGATATAATACTCTCTGGTCTTAGTAAAAGCATGTTGGCACAGAAAATGTTAGTAGATGCAAGTGAAGCAACTTCAGCAACGCAAAACTATTGGCAAAAAGCTAATTTGAGCAATAACATACTGTCAGAATTAGCTTATGGCAAAGAATGAGTTCAACCGCCAACAGAAAAGATTCAAGAATCAAATAAATCAAGAAAAGCAAGGGCGGTAAAAAGCAAGTGAAAAATCATAGAGCAGTATCATATATCAGTAGAAGCAACCGAATATAGCCTTGCAATCTTGACAATGGCAATAAGAAACAAGGCCATTTCTAGTATCCTCAGCTTATATTCCTACAACCATATATCCAGCCGCTCAAAATCTTTCAACAACCAAAAAAAAGATTATAACCCAGACACTAACATAGTTTAACCATTCAAATCCAACCAGTACTATTGAGTCTCCTTTATGTAGTTTGTGTTTTGTATACCAAGAAAGCTATAATTCTCTTTGAACTTCAACGTGCGCAACTAAAGTGCTATGTAAAAAAAATTTGATTATTTTTTCTACAAGCATAACAGCTCCCAGTGATTCAATAGCAAAGCAAGTAACTAACAATAAGATGATAATTACCTTCCCATCCAAAGCAGAAATAGCAGCCTCTGCTTCCTCCCTTGTAAGAAAAGAAACAAATCCATACCCAGCAGATCTTCCAGATGGGCTGTCAAAGACAACCCTAGCTGAAACTGGTGTTTTGAAATTTTCAGTGAAGACTTGTTTGAGATGGATAGATCTTGCTTTCCATGCAAGGTTGGATGCATAAAGTACATGTCGTGCCTCTCCAGGACGAGGACCTGGTGGACGTGGTGAAGGAGGTTTCTTGAATCTCTTCGCAAGTTCTACCCTTATTATCCGTCCTGATATTTCCTAAATCACACAATTTTAAGTCAGCAAAATTATCACAATACAGAAGTTGAATGTTCAAAGCAATATTCGTAACTTCTTTTTTTAATTTACTTGAGACACTAGTTAAAGTATTTCTAAGCATCATCCCTAAATTTTACCCTCTTAGGTTGTCGGATGCGCATTGCCAGAGGTAAAACATATGGAAAGATCATTAAAATGGTATCATATTTATGAGATCCTACTATGTGGTATGAACCACTGCAAATTCCTTTCCAGGTAAAGATGCTAATTTTAGTTTAATACTCTACTGCATGGGCATAAGAAACATTTTATTACATCACATTTCTGTGAGGGCATAAAGGTATAGAAGATATGATAATTCAAACTCTAACCAAGCCTTCGGTAAAAACATCTGCAGCGACCTAACTAAATTAAGATAAGTTTTTGCTTATCAAGTTCCATTGGACCAAAAATAACTGACCTTCATAGTCAGTTGTAAGTACTAGACCATGCAACAAACAAACATTGAGAGTAAGTGGTAGAAGTGGCATCACAAGATTGAGGATAAAGGGAACTGGGGATTGCTGGTGTAGAGAGAGTAATTATGTATTTCATCTGCATTTTATTGAGACTAATAAATAAATAAATAATAATACACTCGTTTATATTTGCATATTTTTGCACTGATCCAAAATGATGTGATTCCCTGGTTTACTGCACTAAAGGATTGTTTGATATTATGATCCCGTTCGAGTAAACTTATGGATGGATAAGTTTGTAAAAGATAAAAAAAAACAATATAAAAAATCAATAAAACTCCTTTCATAAGTTAAAATTAACTTATTTTTCTCTACAATTTGAAGAGATAAAGTATTTTCAACTTAAATGATTTATTTTTTATATTATTTTTCTTCTCTTCCGATAACTTATCCATAAGTTCACCTACACAGGGCTTATCTACCATTAAGAAAACTAATCTTGGAGCCAGCATTCAGAAGATAATTATGTGAGTAACTCACCACAACAAGGACCAAATAACAAGACACTGAAGCAGCGAACCCCCAGTTTATACAAACAGAATATGTGGATGTGGCCCATATCATATGTATTGAACAAAATCAAAGCGATTTACCTGAGAGTCAAATTTATCAACAGCAGCCAAAGCTTCTTCACCGGAAGCCATGGTAACGAAAGCATAGCCTCTGCTCCTCCCATCTTTGTTCTTTATTATCTACTATAATCAAAACCCATTTCTCCCAATCATACAAGGATACATAAAAATCGATTTTTCAAACCCATATAACATTACACATGACAAAAAAATTACATACACTAGGTTTTTATTGAAAATTTATGTCTTGTATACAACTTTTTATCATGTGAAAAGTTGATGGTTGGACCATTTACACCCATAATACATGTATAAATAAACTCAAAATAATTAAACAGACAAACCATATAACTATATTCTAATTTTTTTAATGATAAATAGTGGCAAAAAAATTAAATTAAATGTAGCATATTAGAAAAAGAAAAGGGAAAAGCAAGGGCGACAGAGATTGAAAAAACCTCGACGTCGGTTACATTTCCGCATTGGGCAAAGAGATCTTTGATGTCTGAGGCGGACATAGACCAAGGTAAGTTAACAACGTAGAGTTTCTTCTTGACGTTGTTTGTTAGTTGGGTTTGGTCTTGTGTTTCCTCTGTTGCTGCTACCTCTTGCAAAGCAGAGCATAAGTGGAAGCAGAGTGTTGGGGTTTTGGAGGAGAAGACAAGGGAAGAGAAAGGAATGGAAGTGTTGAGCTTAATTGACTGTGGTGCCTTTGCATGGAAACCATAGTTATGGGAAAGTCGTTGAGGTGCGAACACTGTGAGAGCTAATTCTAAAGTTGCCATTCGACACAACACCAGTGTCAGTGTGGATAAGGGGATTAGGAGCAGCGTGCAGGATTTTATTTTCTTTTTTTTAGTGCAAAGATTTATGATTTAGGAATCAAAAATATCTGTTCTTTCAACCAATCTTCATACGGATTCACTTCAATATTACCTTCATAATAATCTGCATAAAAGCCTAATCTTGATTTTATTTTCTCTATATGACAAAAATGCTTATATTTCAATGTATTTTCATTTACTTCTAAAGAAAAAATTATGTATAATTTTTTAATGTGCTTTTAACGTTATTTATTAATTAAAATGTAAATTTTATTATCATAATATTATATAAGAGTAAACATAAATATTTTATTAAAATAAAATTTAATTTAAAATAATAAATAATGCTAATAAACTTAAAAAATAACATAAATTTCACTCTACTTTAAATGGCATTGCTAATCAAAATAAGTCACATTATGAACTATTTTAGCGCATAGCACAACTCTGTGATAGCACCTAGTTGGTTTGGGTTGACAAAATACTAGTTTTATTTTCTTGATAAAATGAATTTTATTTATAATAATTAATAAAATGAATTGTTATAAATAATAAATTTTATTGATAATTTTTTTAAAGAATATATCTTTAACAGATAAAGCATGAATTTATTTAAAATACATCGATGATATAAATTTTTTAATTTTTTTATTTAATCACAGATTAAACTGATTAATATATCAGTGAGAATTATTATTTTTTGTAATAATTATCTGAAAAGTTATGTCTAATTAATTTATTTTATATCAAATTTTAGCAACGTAATTAATATTTAATATAAAATTATGATAATAAAACCATTGCAATTAATGGTACTAAAAAGATTGATAGCATTAATTTTCTTTGTGTGTGTGGGGAGTGGACAGGGTAGAGCTCGCAAAGCAGGTTAGACATCACATTTAAGCTACCCTAATAGGTTTTAGTAAATCCGGTCGAAAAAGTCTACATATAATCCAAGCTCATAAAAATAGTATAAAAATTTAGTTAAAATATAATTTTTCATGGGCTGAATCTGCATTCATTTTGATTGGATTGAAATAATAAAATTTAAAGTCTAAGTTTTATCATGTAAATTTGTGTGAATCTAACTCAGCCACTGACCATTTTTTTTCATACCTTTAATCTTTTCTTCATATTAATTAATTCTAAAAAAACATTAACTTCCATTATTAAGTTGATTTTTTTCTATTATTATTAAGTTGAATTTAAGAAATTATAAATAATAAAATTATATAAAAATATTTATTTTATTTTAAATAAGTAATATAATAAATATATTTTTAATAAAAGCTACACTTTTAAATGTTTAAATTTTAAGTTAAGATTAATGAATCTTATTAGTTATACATAATTACATATTTCAATCATATATATGATAAAGAAATAAGTATTATTATTAGCAAAAAAAAAGAAGAAGAAGAAGAAATAAGTATTATTTATAAGTAATCTGATACTACCATATCATATGCTTGAAGAGGTTTAATTATTTTGTTAGTACCGTTAGTATCCATACGTTATATATTAAATTTCTTTAAATAAATTTTAATTAATAATTATAAATGTTATACATTAATTATATATATATATATATATATATATTAATTTAAGTCGAGAGAAATACATTAAAAATTTGATAAACATCAAGTTAAAGCAGATATAAATATATATTTATATTTATAGAAAAATTATATATTTTCAGTTTGTGTTAATAAAATTTATAGTTCAATTTATGCTATAATAAATTTTACGTAATAAAATTTTACTAATTCAATAATTAATTAAATTATTACGTAAATACACCTTTAAACTTGAAATGCAAACACATTGTCAATTGTTTTATTATCGAATTTTTATTTTTAAGAATAGGGAAATTGTAGTAAAACAATAATTTTACAATGTAAAAAAAAATCATATAAGAACGATATAACGATAACTAAAAGATCAACGATCTTATTAATTTTAATAATTAGGATTAAGTTGAAGTATTTTTAAATAAATTTTACATAAAATTAAATTTTATCATATCTAATATTATAAAATATAGTAAATAATTTATTTGTTAATAATTTTTTATTATTTCACATACTAAAACATATTTTTAAAAGCTGAAACGACCATAATTGGAAGATCAAAATTTAAAAATTAATATTCAATTTTATCAACATGGACGTAAGGATATATTCTAAGAAATTTATAAATAAAATTTTATTAAAAATATATTATTAATATTATAAATGTATTAAAATTTATAATTTAAAATAAGAATTTATTATAATAAATTTTTGTTATACACCCCTATATAGATGTCAAAGAAATATATTGATTTTATTGTCATTAACTGTAAAAGTGTTGTTTATCTTAACTATGGAAAAAAATTTAATTTTAATATATTATCAGTGTACAGATGTTTCTGGCAAATTTATTATAATATTGTAAATTAAAAAATAATTTATTATTTTATAGCAAATTTGAAACAATTTCTCAATCTGGGGTTTTTTTGCTACGTGGATCAAATTTTCGCCAAACGACTGGCGAAAGTAATTAATTTTTGAATTTTTTAATACGAAATATGACTTCTTAGAGCGGTTAATTTAAAACCGCTCTCATAAGCCTATTTTAGAGAGCGATTCAAAAGGAACCACTATCAATAGTCTATCTTAGAGAGCGGTTCGAAGTGAACCGCTCTCAAAAGTCCGTTTTAGAGACAGTTCAAAAGGAACCACTCTCATAACTCTATTTTAGAGAGCGGTTCTAACGAAACCGCTCTCTTAGGTATATACAGCCATACAAATTTTATATAAATATAAAACTCTAATTACTAGCATAAAATTAAAAAACATTTTAATTTTTTCATATTTCCAATTCAAATCTACATAAATTACATTTAATTTATAATTATATAAAAACTATTACATTTTTTAAAGTAAAAAATATTATTATTTACATACAAATTTTATTTAAATACAAAACTCTACTTACTGCATAAAATTAAATTACATTTTTATTTTTTTATATTTCTAATTTAAATCTACATAAATTTTATATAAATACAAAACTCTAATTACTAGCATAAAATTAAATTATATTTTTATTTTTTCATTTTTCTAATTTAAATTTACATATATTACATTTAGTTTATAATCATATAAATTATATTACGTTTTTAAAAGTAAAATTTTTTATTATTTACATACAAATTTTATACATACATTTCATATAAATTATGATTACTGCATTTAAAATTTTACAATTTTAAAATTTTACTTCAATATAAGTGTAAAAATTATTTATTACAATCAAACTAAGTATAAATTATTATATTTAGTTTTATATAATTATTTTATTTAACTCAATTTTTATTATTCTGTATTTTAATAAATATCTATAATAATTCCTGTAAACAAATTTTATAAATCTTAATTTAACCTATCTTCTTAACAAGGCAAAACATGTATCAAAGATCGGTTTCGCTAACTGCAGGGCGAAATAAACTTTCGCCAGTAGCAGCGCGAATCATTTCAGATGTTGCCACGTGTATCAAAATCTCCCCAGCCGTTCATTTTAAATCTAAGAGAGCGGTTCCGGCAGGACCGCTCTCTAATATGTACTTCTGAGAGCGGTTCAAATGGAACCACTCTCTAATAATGAAATTTCAGAGCGGTTCATATATGAACTGCTCTCTAAAATAGACTACCGAGAGCGGTTCCTTTTGAACCGCTCTCTTAAATAGACTTATGAGAGCGGTTTTAAATTAACCGCTCTAAGAAGTCATATTTCGTAAAAATTCAAAAATTAATTACTTTCGCCAGCCGTTTAACGAAAATTTGATCCACGTGTCAAAAAAATTTCAAATTAAAAAATTATTTCAGATTTACTATAAAATAAAAAATTATTTTTTAATTTACAATATTATAATAAATTTGCCGATATTTATACGGCAAACTAACTAAAATATAAATAAAAAAAAGATGATATGATACTTTACAGTGTAAAAACCAACATATATAAATTAAATTATATAGAAATTTATTAATATTATAATCATTAGTTGGGTAGGATAATATATAAAGCACATTCCTCCTTGGAAAAGTTCACACCTTTTTATGGATTGTCCAAGCCTCACTCAATCCCATTATTCATCAATTAGTTTTTCCAAGAAACAACAAAATCCATTAACACATCAACATCTTAATTTCCTCCTACCAAGACGGCAAAGATAAAAAAATATGATCAGAGTCGTAAACTTTGTTGCAGTGATCGTCTCAATCCCAATCATTGGTGCTGGAATCTGGATAACAAACGAGCCAGCCAATTCCTGTGTCAAGTTTCTACAGTGGCAAGTTATCAGTCTTGGAGCTCTGAGCTTGGTTGTGGCTTTCTCAGGTTGCATTGGAGCCTTTTTTAAACTTTCACGGGTCCTTATATTCTACCTCATTGCCATGCTTGTGGTAACAATACTACTAGTTTCTTTGGTGGTTTTCATTTATATGGTTACTCTTCAAGGTCAGGGCAACATTGAACCCAACAGGGGTTCCTTAGAATATCATTTAGATGACTTTTCTGGCTACCTTCGTCGAATGGTACGAAGTTCATTCAAGGGGGATCGCATGAGAAATTGTCTTAGACAAACAATCATGTGTTCTGACTTGAACTAACGTTACCGAATTGCTCAGGACTTTTTTAATATACAGTTAACACCCATGCTCATGAGAAATTGTTTTCTAAACCCTACCTTTTATCAACTTTGTTACTCTAATGCTCTAGCTCGCTCAACATCTTCTATTAAGAGCACATATATGCATGTTGAAGTAATCGTATCGTGTTGACTTGCTTTCTTAAATTCCCACACGTCCTCCTTTTCTTATATTTTACTCATTTTTCAACTTCTTAGAAAACATGAGATTGAAGCTCTTGGAAGTTTGCATTATGTTCTATTGATTGTCTCTTAAAGATATTAGTTAATTAGAATGTACTGAAAATTGTGGTGCAAATTTATAAATAATATATTTAATTAATATAAAATTTACACTTTTTAATCTTTAATAAGTATATTTAGAGTGTTAATTATTTAACATTTGTCTGATTTTGTAGGGTACTGATTTAACTTTTCCTATAGACACCGCATTCTTGTTTAATATATGCAACGATATCAGAACTAGGATTTCATTTCTTATCGAAAGATAGAGAGACAAATTCAATAGCTAACTAACCAAGATTATTCTTTAAACTGTTTTTCCACCACCAGCATGTGTTAATTCTTTCACCTTTTTTCCTTAATATTTACTATTATTCTTGGTTTGATGATTTGCAGTCAGGGTGCTGCAAGCCACCAACTCAATGTGCATACACGTATGTGAACCCAACCTATTGGATTAACCCGATCAACACATCAGCGGATATGGATTGCCAACAGTGGAGCAACAACCAAACACAACTTTGCTTCAACTGTGACTCATGCAAGGCTGCTTTATTGGCAAATCTTAGGAAGGAGTGGAGAAGGGCTAATGTGATATTAATAATCACAGTAATTGTTTTAGTGACAGTTTATTCGATAGGGTTATGTGCCTTTAGGAATGCCAAAACTGACGATCGGTTTCTCAAATTCAAACAAGGCTATACTTAAAATATCCATGTATATAAAAATTTGACAGTAAAAATTCTTTGGGTGCGAAAAGGGTCAACGATAACTGTGGATAAAAATGTAATAATGATGTGTATATTTAAATATAACATAGAAATACAATAATAAAAATTTGATAAAGATAAAATAGTAATTTAAAATTGTATAAAAAATTGTATTTGTGGTTCCATCTCTCTCAAATTGAAAGGAAAAAAACAAGTATGCAAATATAATAAATCTCATTCAATTTCATCTTCATTTTAATATTTCAACAATGAAATAAGATATCACTTAATGTTATTTCCTTTCATTCTATTGCATTCTAGTTAATTCCAATTGTGGATAAATGGAATTATGAACTTTAAATATATAAGTGAAAACATAAAAATATATGAATAACACTGTTAAAGTTATAAGAACTCGTATAAGAAAATAAAACGCAGTTACAATAACACAAGTATTGTTAATACTATTTTCAGTTATAATTTTTAATATTAATTTTTATTATATAAATTATTAACAACACTGTAAATATTGTATATCTGAGTTTTGTGAAAGAACGCGAACAAGCAGATCTGCAAGTTTTTTAGATATGTGAAAAAAAGTCAACTTTGATGCAGAAAAGGCGTCAGGAGTCATTGACGTTCGGATGCTTTGTTATTATGTCTATGACTCCAGACTCCATGACCTGTACTGTAACATATTGCTGGCATGCATCTTCTTTTCCTCCTTTTTCCTTTCTTCTCTCAGTGTGCACTGTACAAGGTACTACTTTTCAAAAAGTTATGCTACCCCAGCATTTTGTCATACTCATACCTCTAATCTTATCTCTATATCAATCAACTAGTTATATTTTAATCACACGATAAAGAAATAAACATTATTTAAAGGTAATGTGATGTTATCATATGTTTGAAGGGATTTAATTATTTCTTTTTATTAGGGACTATTTATATTCATATATTATATAAACATTCCATTAATTTAAGTTGAGGATTTAGGATTTATTTACTTTAAAGTTATAAAATCAATTCTTATATTTTTAATAAAAAAATATATAGTTTAAGTTATTTTATATATGTACTTGGATCACATTTAATAACTGAAAATTAGTTTTATCTCAACTTTAATTTAAATGATTACCTAGTTTATATTTAAAAGTATGTTGAAAAATTTATAACATTGATTTAATGTAAAAACTATAATCAATAATGTTAAAGTAAATACAAAATTATTATGTAAATATGAATACAAACACATTGTTAATTGTTAAAAAAAAGAGAGACATAGTTAATTGTTTTAACGTCAAAATTTCAATTTTAAAGAAGGGAAAAATTGTATTAAAATAAGAACTTTAAAATCTGAAAAAAAAAATATTAATACAAGAATGATATAAAAGTATAACCGAAAGATTAAAATTAAAAAAAAAATACTTTTATTACTGTTACAACTTTCAGGCATCCCAGGTAAGGAAGAAATTAGTATGTGGGGTACGATAATAAAGACCCCTCCTTCTTTGTATCCAAAACTTCACACCTTTTTATGGATTGTCTAAGCCTCGTCCCTTGTCGTTCTTCATCAATTACAATTAGTCTCTCCAAGAAACAACAAAATCCATAAACACCTCGCTAAACCAAGCCATCTTAATTTTCTCCTATTAAGATGGCAATGAGCAACAATGTGATAGGAGCCATTAACTTCATAGCAGTGCTCCTCTCAATCCCAATCATTGGTGCTGGAATATGGCTACTAAACGAGCCAGCCAATTCCTGTGTTAAGTTTCTGCAATGGCCAGTTATCATTCTTGGTGTTCTGATCTTGGTGGTGGCTCTTTCAGGCTTCATTGGAGCCTTTTTTAGAATTTCATGGCTCCTTATATTCTACCTCATTGCCATGCTTGTGTTGACAATACTTTTAGTTTGTTTGGTGGTTTGCATTTATATGGTCACTCTTCGAGGTCATGGCAACATTGAACCCAACAGGGCTTACTTAGAATATCGTATGGATGATTTTTCTGGTTTCCTTCGTCGAAGGGTAAGAAGTTCGTTCAAGTGGGATCGCATCAGAAGTTGTCTAAGCCAAACAAACATGTGTGCTGACTTGAACCAAAGTTACCGAATGGCTCAGGACTTTTTTAATGCACATTTAACACCCATGCAGGTATAACTCATCTTCATTTCTTCTGAAGTTGTTCTCTAAACGATACCTTTTATATCAACTATGTTACTCTAATATTGCTCTAGCTAGTTCAACATCTTCTATGATGAATTGAGTTGCATGATTTTAGTCTCTTTGTTTCTTTTATGAGATGCGGAGTATATGTGTGAAAGTTGAAGAAATGGAATCATATTGACTCGCTTTTTTAAATTCCCACACGCCTTTGTCTTCTTATATTTTACACTCATTTTCAAACATTCTATACAAAAACACGAGACTGAAGAGTTTGGAAGTTTGCATTGAGGGTATGCATGGAAAATTATGGTACAAGAACATAAATATCATTTTTAATAAAAAGTTTTATTTTTTTAATTTTTTAGCATTTGCCTGCCTTGATTTAATTTTTCCTACAGACACCATTCTTGTTTAATATGCAAATGATTCTAAGATTCTTAAATAGCTAATTAACCAAGACTCTTAAACCATTTTTTCTCCACAAGCACGTGTTAATCCTTTCAGTTTGATTCCTTAACATTTGCAGTCAGGGTGCTGCAAGCCACCAACGCAATGTGCATACACGTTTGTGAACCCAACCTATTGGATAAGCCCCATCAACACGGCTGCGGATATGGATTGCCTGCAGTGGAGCAACGACCAAACACAACTTTGTTACAACTGTGACTCATGCAAGGCTGGTTTATTGGCAAATCTTAGGAAGGAGTGGAGAAGGGCTAATGTGATATTAATCATCACAGTCATTGTTTTAATAGCAGTTTATTTGATAGGGTGCTGTGCCTTCAGGAATGCCAAAACTGAGGATCTCTTTCGCAAATACAAACAAGGCTATACTTGAGAAGATTCAATTTGGCTTCGATGTTACTGTACCAAGTTTGGTACTGAACAGTATTAGTTGTCATGAAATTGGGTCGTTTTGTTTAACTTAATTATTACAATATTTGTTTAGACCCTCAAAAAATATATCCGTGTTTAGAAAAACAATGTATGAACTTGTCTCTCTTGCACTTTTTTTAGAAGAAAAGATGCTTGGTTTTTTATGGAAGTGTTGAAACTTGGTGTAAAGGTTCAGCGTGATTTGCGGAGGCCACCGAAAGCTAATGTCTCGGCTCTCGAGGCACCAACGCGACTTGTATGGATTGGAAGTACAGTGTTGCTTTAATGGAGGGTTTTTGGGTTCTTATTTGTCTGTGCTTTCTCTCGTTTCAAAATAATTTGGCGCTTCAAGAAAAGTAGCATTTGACAGGGATGCATCCAAAATTTTAGCGCGTGCTCAGAAATTAAAAAAATAAAAAATATTAATTTACAATTTAACATAAAAAGTTATGAGTTATAACATTAAAATAAATTTATACACGAGCAAATTTGACATAAATTTAAACTCGTTATTAATTTATGATTTTAACTTGTTTTGTGAGGAACACGCCATTAGAAACCCAAATCGGATTCCTAATTCGATTAAATTATATTTTCTTTTTATCAGGACACAGCAAACTGTTTACAAAGATGGATCACATAAAAAATGTTGGGAAAGCACTGGCTTCTAGAGCTGCCAAAAAGTTCACTTGGCCAAATCAAACTTTATTTTATGTGGGTCAGAATCAAAAAGTTTTATGGACCAAAACATTCATCAAATCATAACCTTACAGGGCCAAAAAATTCACAGCACTGAGCTTAAGATTAGGATTTTGTGGACTAAAAAAGTTTATATATTTTTAGAAAATTTAGATTTGAAAAAATTTGATATAGATTATAATAATTATTAGAATATCTAGTAAAAATATTTATTTATATAACATTTTTTTATTATAAACTTGTATTCCAATAAAATTGTTTAAAAAAAGAGAAAAAATTTATTTAATATTAAATATTTATAATAATTATTTTTATTAAATAAAATTAATAAAATAAACGATTACTATATAATTTTAATAATTTTTTTATTTAATTTTATAAATAAATTTTAAAATATTATTTAAGCATTAACTATAAATATTTTTATATTCTTATTTTTCTTGATTTATTTTTATAAAATTATTAAAAATATTATATATTTTAATTTTTTTTTTAGGATCATACTTCATTTGTATAAAAACATCTTATATTTAATAAATAAAGTCACAATAAACATATAAAATTGACAACAAAAAATAACATTAACAAAATTTGTTAAATCAACTTAATAACAAATGTAAAAGCTAAATTTAATTTAATTTTATAATATAATTATATTTGATATTATTTTTTATGATAAAATTTTAATATATTAAATGATTTTTTTTATTTTTTAATTTATTTTTTATATGTTAAATATAATTTTTAATTCATTTAAATAAAATAATTTAATAAATATTATAAAAAAATACTATAATTATTACTTATTTTGTAAAATAAGTGGGCTACACTCCTAATCTGATCTTAGTCCACTATTTTATTTATTTTGGAGCTTAAAATCAATGTAAATCCACTAATTATAGAATTTTAAAAAAATAAAACTATATAGAGAACTAACAAGATCACTTTGACAACTCTACTCGCTTCTCTACTTGTATAGAAGAGGAATGTATTTGAGAGTGTATGTTATTAGGTTATACAAGCGGTAGGTAAATAAATTTGTAGGCATGCCCACTACTATCTGATCTAATGGTCAATTGAAGAGAGGCCCAAAGAACTTGACCCAAGGATAGAATGGGGGTCATCTTTTTATTCTTTTTGGAGGGAGATGGGGTGCTTAAAGAAAGCAAGTTACCTCCAATCTTTCTCATTGAACATTGGGCTCAACTCAGATGTGGATCCTGCTTCAGGAGGATCCCTTTAGGCTTTTAGATGATAAATCAGTTGAAATATGGCCTATTGGGCTTCCACTTCCAAAATCATAGGCTTCAGTAAATGGCAACCTACCCAATGGGATTGTTGACCCAAGAAAAAGGACTGGACTATCATATTGAGAGATACTTTTGACCAAAAATTAAAATCCTATTTGAGAGATATTCATATTTAATTTTTGACTCTTTTGCAAAGTCGATTATATTTTATAAAGAATACATGTTCCAAAAACAAAAAACTTTCTCTAATTTTTTTTCTAACACACTTTTAATTAGATTTCATAAATTAATAAAAATAAACTGATTCAAATATTATAATATAATAGTTTTTATCTATATTTAATATCATTGAATATAATTTCATTATATTTTTTTAAGAGCATGCAAAAAATTAATAAAAACTATTAAAAAAATGTAAAAATAGATTATGAAAAAGACCAAAAAGTTGAACACGATCATGAGTAGCATCTAACAACGTTGATCGTTTTAAAAGGTAAGAAAATTTGCTACCCTGAGATATATCATTTTAAACACGATTATAGACATAGCAATGGGTAGTTGTGTGAGCAGCATGATTGGTGGGCTACAATGCCTATTACAAACTCTTAGGCCTGTTCAAGCTTCGTACGAGTCAGCCATCACTATTGGCGGGCTACAATTTCGAAAGCCCTACACCGCACTACCTTTTGCAGGAATCAAAGGCATTATTATTATTGAATAAGATCTTCACGATTGAAATAATCATTTTATCTATTTAAAACTTTAATTTTCCATTACAATAATTAATTTATTAATAATTAGACGTTAAATTTCAACACTGTACCATATAAAACAATTTACAATAAAGAGAATCTGTTTTCTTTTTTCCCAACTCTGAAACACACAAGGCTTTATTAGAAAAAAAAAACAACTTTTCATACTACCAGAAGTTTTAATATTTCATAAAATTCAAAATATGTCGAACTATAAAATAAAAATAAACTTATATTAAAATTATAGCATTCAACATACTTAATATATTAATTCTTCAATTTTTTATTAAAAATTTATTATATGCTATCTCTAGTCTTATTTGATGACTTTAAACATATATTGCAAAAACTAAAGTTTAAATTATTCCACCCTAGGATACTAGTATATGATTTGCAACAGGATAATAAACATTGTACAAGTGAGAACAATGTGCAGTAGTTATGTCCGGCATCACTATATGTGGGTTACAATTTCACAGGACTAAAATCTTGTGTGTGTGTTAAATCCATAATTGAAGACGGGCAAAAGCATACAAAATGAATAGGGAAAATTAGAGAGCGAAGCATATGTGTAATATGTACGACCCAGATACACACTGATTCTGACAAACAAGCGTGAGATTTGCGCGTGTCAGACAGAGTCACCGCTTGGCCATTGGTTCCCATATACACCAACAATATCATCATCGTCATCACTTTCCAACACCACACTGCCCCTACCATTTCATTCCCATGCCATACCACTTGCCATTACAAATTCAATTACTACTATTTAGCTTCTTAGACAGATTGTAAACAAGCTTCAAAATTCTATAGATGTTAGGCATATGACGATAATTGCAAGACAAAGACAATTTTCATATTTGAAAACACTTCCATCATGGGACCTTTCCAGAATTCAAGTGTGTCTCCTTAAGTGGTTGGGCGTTAGTGCCTTGTACAAAATGACTAGCCTAGCTCGTAGCTTAGGTGGTCCAACATATTGCATTTATGATGGCGTATTGAGTGAAGAAATGCAAATAAAATACTAGAGTTTTGAGTTAAAAAATAAATTTTAACCTACAATTAATTATATGATAAATATCTTATATAATATGTAAATATATGATTTGTGAGTCAGGAAAATAAGAACCTTTGGATGAGTCAAATATTGTAGTCAATGCTTAACTCATTGATTTAAGAATTTGACTTTTTTTCGTTAAAAAAGTCCAGGAGCCGTAAGCTAACTCTTTTCTGCATGATTCCTCTGTTTGCTTTACTGTTCGAGTGAACGAACCATGAGATCATTATGTAGGGAACAGATATCGGATAATGACCCAACACCTTAGCGTTATTGCATTTCGGACTGCTTAGCCCAATATTATCCAGCAAAGATAGTAACCCCTGTTGTTGGGCTTGGGGGCGGTTCAATAAGTGCAATAGTCAAAACGGAACGGTCAAATTTAAATAAACATTTGACCCACAAAAAAATTAAAATTAACAAATAGAAACTTTTTATTGAACATTATATTACTGTTTAATGGGAAAGATGCAACGTAAATTACACTGTACCGGATGAAATTACGAGATCGATCCAAGTAATAATTTCAGACACATGACATATCCATTGCGGTGATTAAAATTTACTCCGATGTGTATGAAATTAGCAATTTTCCTTTCGTGGTTTTAAATAGCAATATTAATCTTGTAGTTTTTGGCAGGTATGTTTATTATCACTTTTTTAAAGTGATTTTTATTTAAAATACTGTTTTTTTATAATTAAATCAATAATAAAAGTACTTTATATAAAAATATTTAAAATTGAAATAGTAGACACCCCTCTCTTGAGCACCCCCGGTTTACACGTAAATGTGTCCATTTGTGGCTCTGCAAAAACTGGGTTTCCAGACCCACAACCTAGTCAGGACTCTTACTACCCCAGCCCTGAATTTCACGCCCAGACTTCGTTCGTCAACCACAGTGTCCCTTTTTTATTTTTAAAGTTAGACAGAGTTCATGACAGAAAAAAGATAGTGTTAACTTTTATTAAAAATAATTAAAAATTATTAAATAAAATTAAAATATATTTCGAAATAATTTAAGTAAAATTTTGATTGAAACATATTTTTATAACTTTCAAATAAACAGTCCGAAAAGTGAAAATTAACTGGGAGTTTTGGCACGTCACTCTCACAAGAGAAAAACCTGGGAAACCTCTTTTGCTGGTTTTAGGCTTAAAAAGAGCTTGTGAAATTGCACGCCAAGTTGGGCCAATCAATTAT